GTTTGAAAAGGCGATATTGTGCCACTCCTGTACCCAGCTTTGTCGTCTGGTGCATCAGAGTCGTCGTCCCTCTCTATGCTGCATTGTCAAGGGAAGCCGAAGTAATGGTCACCCTGCTGATAGTCCACACACCTTGCGAGATGATACTGGGCATGCTGCAAGCATGCCCATTTCCTGACGAATGCTCCGTGATGTGGTCATATGGTTTTGCACGGCTGACCTCACAATATGTCTGTCCTCTCATTAGTCATGGGAGGGCGTTGAGATCCTGCATGCCATTCAGTATGACCCTCAGCAATCCATTGATTCCATATTCGCATGATGGTAGTTGGATGTTGACCAGTGCGACTGGCGATATCACGGAATGATAATCTACACTTTTGACAGGCAACAATCCTGCCTTTATTGAATTTCGGAACTTCCTAGTTAGCATTTCCTCTTCATAATCGAGGCATGACACAATATTATGAGCAAACTCCAACCTTAAAGCACTTTCCAAATAAGAAATACACTAAGCAATTTTTCTTTTATGCAGTGTTACAAATGTCATTCCTCCCTCCTGTCGTCTAAATGCTTTGAAATACAAATTATTTGCCAACCTCTTCTTCCTTTCATGTGACTTTGGCGTTTGTCAGATCATTCCTTCCTGGTGTTGCAATTTTAATGGCCAGCAGCGTAGTTTATATTTCTAAGCTAATATTTTCAATTGCATTTAGTTTATTTAAATAAAAAAGTATTAAGACTATTACAGAATTTAATTTTTAAATCAGATCTTAGAATTGAATAAGGTAATTTAAAAAAATTACATAATTTTGCAAATTGGGCTCTGTGGATGGTTTCTTATACACACCAAGCCCTTGGAAAATATTTTACTTGGGCTTTATTTTCACTGCCGATGATCGTATTTCCAGGTACAAAAAGGATTTAAATGCCGCAATTATGTATTTTTGATAATAATAATTACAAAATTTACATTTTTACACATTCTTCTGCTCCTTTTAGTTTTATATTAAGCAAAGATTTACACGCATTCTAAAAAAATAAAATGTCTGATTACGAAAAAACAGAAGGAAATATTTGACTTCACAAAATTTGAAATTTTTGACGTCATTTAAAATTTGCGCTCAGAAGTCAGTTGTGAATAAATTGCTGATATTCTTCGGTAATTTACTGGCATTTTTAGTTCATAATTTTGTAACATTTGATACGCTGAAATAATCCAAACCAGTAAATACTTTATAATTATTTTCAGGCAATTTTATGATTTTAGAACCATACTTACAATATATATATTTTTAATTCTTAACTTATGCAGATGTGTTATGAATTGGTCATGTGCCAATAGAGGCCTGCTATTGTATTTTCAGAACTCAAGTTCTGTTAATCTTTTTGAAAAAGTTATATTGAACAGTACTTTTCAGAGATCTACACAGTCGTTGCTTACTTTACTAACAACAGAAGCATTTTGCTCAACTGATCTTAAACTTTCAGTTCTGTACACATGCAAACATTTCAGTCTTCAAAAATAAATAAATAAAGGTTGCAATAATGGCTAGTCTAAATACAAAACAAACACTTTAGAAGAGGGTAGTTAATTCTTATTACCATTTCTTAAATTTTTACTTGCATGTCCCAATGAATCAATGTCTGATGCATTTAGGAAAAAGAAAACAAGAAAGTGCATATGTTAAAATCAAACTTACACCATGTGCATATAAAAAATCACTCTTGTAATTAGAAATGGATTTGCACCCAAAAGAATCCAGCCCTGTATAAGCAGTAGATTATTACTGAGAAACAAAGCTAAGAAGAATCGAATCTGGTACTAATTTAGATGAAAATGATAAACATGCTAAGTTAGGCACTACTGCTATTAGCTAAATCATACTATAGGCCAATCTTGAAAAATCTTAGCTTGTGAGAAGTTTCTGCACTGTGCGGCGATGCTCTTTTAACAGAATTTGCATGATTCACTACCGATATTATATTATTTATAATACGATTCTGATGTTAAATAAATTAAAATTTAATGAAGATATTCTATATTTTATGTTCATACTCGTTTTACATACGATGAAGCTGTTTATTTATAAATAAAAAAAATCCCCTCTGCCTTCTATTTCTAATTTTTATATACTTTTAAACTGAGAAAATACGATGCAGGGAAAGAAAACTTATTTATCACAGTACTTTTTAATATAATGAAAATAAAATTAATAACATACATACTATTATACAGAAAACCTTAGTAATGAGTGATATATTAATGTAAATATAAAATTAAATAGAGATATTTACTGATTGTGCATTAGGTGAATCTAGATAAAAATTTCTACAAATGTTTACAGAAGATTAAAACAATTCATATCAATTAAAATTTAATAAGAAAAATTATGCTGTAAATCTTCAAGGCTGGGAGGATGATGTTTGTACAATTTAGATTTCATTAAGTGAATAAATTTTATTTATTCTAGAGAAATATTTCCATTACTTAAGTTAAAAATTAAAAACAGGTATAGAGTTGGCAGCTATGTCACACCCTATTATAATATCTTTATATCAGATATATATTTTCATATTTTATTTAAATTCCTTAGATTTTTAGCCTTTATAGCATGAAACTGTAATCACTAAAACAAATGACTTAAAATAAAAGTGTTTCTGCAGGAGATTTCCTCTTATATCTAAAAGGTGTGCATATTTTGCCACTAAACAATTCAACATTTATTGGCCTTCTTTTCAGATTCCATCTGTGCATGATGCTTGTTCTAATAATGGGATGGCACTGAATAAAATTATTACCTTTGCAAACAGGCATATATTGTTATGCTATGGGAGGAAAGCTAAGCTGTTTGCTTGGAGTGTTCTTGTTTCTTATCCTTGGTTGAAAATAATAAAATTGTTTAATAAGTGTGAACAGACTTAAGCCATCTGCATCAGGAAAATTACAGAATGTTAAAACAGGAGAAAAATCCTTCCCTCTGGAAACTATTGCCACAAGTATTAACTGAAATATAATAAACACTTGATTTGCTAGTCCCTCGCATCAGTTTAATACTACAGCTCATTATCTTTAGCTTACCTCTATATTGCATATAATAATTATATTCCCATCGTAAACATTATTGCCCACAGATAGATGGTGAGATCTTACAGGAGGGGGGAAGGTTACTACTGAGAACCATCAGGGAATACAGACTTCAACTGCGGATTTTCATAAAAACTTCATAATAAAAAAGAAAATTTCATCTTTGACAGTACATAATATGATTATTCACATACAGTAAATTTTTAGAACTATAGTGACAATCTCTTAAACTTATAAACATTCAGTTACTTAATCTTATATTAAGAAACTTGTAATTTGGCATAATAAATATGGCAGTTAAACTCAGTCACTGAGCCACTCTCTTTGATATTGTGCTAACAGGATGCATTTTCTTGTTAGGATGTCTAATTTTCACAGCTAAGCCTAACTTTTGGGAAAAAATTTACATAAATTTGTGCTCTAACTATTCCAATTTTTGCACATTATGAGCAAAACACCCAGGTAGTTGTTAGAATTAATTTGAAAACTTTATCCTTATATTTTTTTTGCCATTTGAAATAATATTCACCTGAATGCTAGCTAAACATGGAAAAAATAGGAGACATATCCCCATGCCACCAGAAATAAAAACAAAAATATCCAAAGCTTCGAGAACATCCATATGTGTTTACATCAGCTGATTCAATTAACTATCAGCTCTGTTTACGTACCCCCCCCCAAAAAAAAAATTATATGAGGCACATATGTAATATGACACACCAAGTCTGAGATACAGTTGGTGGCAGATGCACATTTGACATGCCCATCCTGCAAAGGCTAAGATTTCCAAGTAAAAGAATGCCACTTTGATGTGTTATTAGTTCTTTATTAAATAGCATGCTTTGATAAGATATTCAACATCAAAACTAATTATTGGATTCTGAGAAAAGAGGGTGATTAAAGTGATTTTGGAAAACAGTTTTTTTTCCTTCATATTTTGAAAGTCTAGCAAAAACTGGAATTCATTATTCAAAGTTCTGCAGATTTTAGATAATTATTCTACAATGTATTCTTTGAGCAAATTTTAATGAAATGCAGTTTTAAAATTATCTAAACATAACATATTTAAATATGAAATCTATGATGGTTACAAAATTAATAAACTACTAGGAAAAATCTGAAATTCATGGATTTATTAGACAATCGTGAAAAACTTGATATTCGCAAAGTCTCAGAAATTTCCCTAAAATTCATGGCACAATAAACTTACTACTCAACTTAATTCTGGAATACATCATTTTAACCCACAAAACTGTACAGTATTTTAATATAAATATTTTGTAATGTATTTTAAAAATATATAAAACATAATACTTCAGCAATACCACAGAACTACTTAAAAATCAATCCATCAGTTTTTACAAAATTATTTAATGGCAGGGCATTTTTAAAGAGCATACTTAAAACGCAATCATTTTAATAAATAAATAAATAAAAAATTCATTCATTTTAGAGCATTTACCTTTTTGTAAAAATGGAATTTAATAAAGCAAAAACTATTATTTCCAATTGAAGGGCACTTGCATTTTAGAGTAAAAAAATTACTGCTAAAGACAACTACCCCTCCCCCCAACAGCAGACAAAAACATTCTATAAAGAATAATCAGATATTTTAATACTCTAATATCTATACATTATTAGAATCATAATTTGATAAGAAAACTTTCAGAAAAATAATTAAGACTAAAATCGGTAAAATTTTGAACTAATGTATCACATACCAGTTTTACTTTGACAACAAGAGCTGTTATATCAATTGCAATCTTTGGAAAAAAAAAAAAAAAAAAAAAAAAAAACTAAATATTACAGTAGAATAAAATGTTTGTATTAATTATTGAATGTGTAAAATATCATCATTCTTTTAAAGGTATTTTAATAAAAAGAATGAACAAAATACAGACGAACCAACACATGCTATCGAATATTTTATATTCAATACAAAAAATATACAACTACTTCAAATACAACTCTAATTTTCCTTTCAGTTGAAATATTCTTTAAATATGACTACACATTTTAATAAAACCAAATTATGACAAAATGATTGAAAACATAATAAAGGATACGGGTGTATGAAATTAACAGAACGTACTGATAAATTTTAAATTAATAAACTTCAAGAAAATAAATTAGCAACACAAAGGAAAATTATCATTTGGATATAATGCAATAAAATACACACTCAGAAGTGAGATTTACAAAAGCTGTTCATAAACATTAATACTGTTAAAGAATTTTAAAACCTACCATACTAAAATTTAATTTGGCCTCAATCAGGTTGCAAGATGTAATTTATTTGAGATCTTTCCCGATTTTGAACAAAAGTGTAACTGATAATGCAAATTACTCAAAGTAATAGTAATCTGATATTTTATTTAAAGGAAAAATACAAGAAACATACTGAATCAAGAGAACTATCTATATTTTGATGAAACGAGTACCAGCTCATTCACATACCAGTCACATTCACCAAGCACAGACAAAAAAAAATATGAGCATACCTTTGATGCGATAAATTATCTTAAAAGCTAAACAAATACAGTGTCATATGACACCTTTTACAATGTTAAACAGATGATCATTTGGGCCCTAAACATGAAGCCGAGAGTTTTAAATAATCCTTGTTTATTTACAAACATATGCCATTTTTCCAGAATTTTTTTAATCCACAGTATTACATGTTTCTTGATTGCAACCCAAATTAATTAGCCTTAAACTAAACTGAAGAAATTAAATTTAATAACAGCTTTTTAGTTGAAGGCTTATAAAATGAGGGTAGCGCTTGAAAATCTGGAACAAACAATTCCACTTTTTTCATGGAAAGACTGCATGCACAGGTCCTCAAAGTTCATTATGTGAAATTGTTCATTAAGATCCATGGGCTACTTCTGATTTTTTAACTGGTTTGACAGCCAATCTAAGCCTTCGTATAGACCATCTCCACTTGTTGCACACGTGGCCTGAATGTACCAGTTTCTGTTCCGTAGGGAATGGAGGCCAAGTTTGTCGGTGATTTCCGCAGCATTCATGGCATTGGGAAGATCCTAAAAAATATAATGGCAGAAATTATATTTCCCACATCGTCTTCAATAAAATGAAAAATCTGAAGATAAAAAAATTACTGAGACTCATAACTATCAACCCTGAAATATGAAAATTTAAGGACTTCCTAGAGGTTTTACTGCTGCACAAGGACACCATTTTAAAAGAACTCCAAATTGGCTTAAATTCATTTTATAACACATATTTCACGTTACTGAACTATTTATAAGATTTTGTTTACTGACAACCAAGCAGGAAACACAAACACATCGATTTCAGATGTACATGACGTTCTTTTTTATAACTTCTTCCTCAGATAAACAACACATTTATGTTTAACCTTCTGTGTAGCGCAGGATTTTAGATCTGTCATAAAGATCAGTCTATAAACATTATTATTTGTAGTTTACTTATTTTAGCCAGTATTTTCATAAATTTACATTCATTATGATGATATTTACATTAAAGAAAGTAAAATATCTTAAATTATAAGGTAATATAAGTAACAGAACTTCTGATGACCAGATAAAGGCTGTTGTGGCATTCTGAGAGTTAATTAGTTTCACACATTTATATAAAAAAAATCTAAGTAAAGAAAGAAAGCTTTGATTTATTATTTTAAAATAAGATGAAAATAAAATGCATAATTAGATGTACACTGCTCAAAAAGAAATGGGACAGTGCTATATCTCCCGTTCTACTGGAGGGATTGACAAAATTCAAACTGCTTTTTTCATGTCTCGAAAGCGCGACTTAGGATATATATTAGATTTATATGTACCACTATTTTAACACAGATATTTTGATACAAAATCGGACTTTTCTGAAATAACATACCAATTTTTTTCCATATTTCGATTCTACGACTCAAACTATGCCAGAATACCAAGTTTTGTAAAAATCAAAAATCGTACGAGTAGTTTTTAAAATATTAGCTCCTCAATGTTAATTGAATTTGGCAAATATTTATTAATATCTCTTTTTTTATTAAATGTTTTTGATTTTTTCTCTCACATTTCGAAATTTAGGTTAATTCCAAATAAAATTACCCATTTTTTGTGTTTTATTTTTTAAATTTCTATTTTTAAATAATTTTTATAAATTTTTCGAAAAAATTTTTGAATTATAACCTACAAAATTTTTACCATCATCTTAAGTAAAATTTTTACCATCATCATTTAAGTAGGTGTATTTTTAAGCATATCTGCAAAAAATTAGACTTTTTTATTCAAAATTTTCCAAGATATACACGAATTTACATATTTTCGCAATTTGAAATTTGGCATCTTTTTTTGAGCGATAATAACATCAAATGTGGTCAATGGATTTTTGTTACAGTGAATTGCCACAGCTATTTTTAACCTTAAATTTCAAGTAAAATTTTACAGAGAATTAATTATATGACATTTTTTCCCTCAATGATGCGAAATAAATATTTATTAATACTATATGAAAAGCTATTTTTTTTTTTAAATTATAGATGATATTATTCAAATTTTTAACTTTTTTTAAATTTCTGTCTTTTTTTTTTAAATATAAGAGTAAATTTTTACCTTCAGCGTTTTATCGTCTGCTACTTTACTTCGTTTAAGTCGAATTGTCTAAAACTGAGAATTTTCGTTTGATATTTATTTGAATTTTATGACATTAACTGCATAATTTATTTCTAAACAAACTGTTGCTTTTGAAGTGGCTGATACTATCATCCATATTTTTAAGGCACAGTATATTTTTATAGAAACATAAGATTTAGAATAATCATTTTTATAAAAGTCAAATTATGATATAAACATACAACCCTCTAGAGACTGAATTAATGGAAGTTCAATGGTTATGTAGAAATGATATGCAGCTACTTAATGGCTGGATAAGTCAGCAGATTCTGTAGACAAGTATAATTATATAAACGACACCCAAAATTCTGGATTCAATTAACAACGAGGATACGATGTTTATTAAATGAATTTAAGAAGGTTTAAAACATAAAAAATAAACTCATTTTTTATCCTAAAATGTATTTTTGTGCGTAGCATATTTTCATTATATCGTTAAAATTCTAATTTAGAATGTAATTGTCAAGAACTGAATCCTAATCATCAGTAATATAATAAGTAATTATTATGGTTATTAATAAATCCTTCTTATAAAGTAATTGCAAATATTTCAAAAAACTTTCTGCCTGAATGCACATATTTTTAATTTTATATTAATCAAGATTGCACACGATATTATTTATTTGCACTTCAATTCTTACCGTCAGTCCTAGTAGAAGTTACAAATCAATTATATTTAATTAAGGATTGGATTATTTAATTATAGCAAAGCACATGAGGGCTATCTGCCTAAAGGGAGGGATGCCTTCGTGGAGGACTTTCTAAGGGAAACTGGCTCGCATACACGCTACACATGGGGAAAACCACGAAAACGCCAATGTGGCCAGCCCGTTCACGAGATTCGAACCTCGGACCGAACTACAAATGATCAGCGTCTTTACCGCTCAGCAGGCTATTTAATTAAGGAATGACCATCTAAGTTTAGAAACAGCGTACCGTAACAGCAATTCAATTATTGGCGCCGTATCTTCCATGTTACTCCCGATTGGCAAGCTACATGATTTTTAACGAGTATTCGGGTTTTGCTAGTAACTTCCCTTGGAAATCACGCTTAAACTAGGTTAGTTGGTTATTTGAACATAGAAAGAACATGGGAGTTATTTGATTAAGATGCTTTCATAGAGAACCTTTGTAAAGAGAACCTAGAAAACTACGAAAACCAACCATGCAGCCTGGGTTAGACTTCGCAACAAACAATTAGTATTTAACAATCTTCAAATGCTAGGCAACTGGTGAGGCTCCAATTAAATCTCTAATTTAATATTTTATTTGTAAATATTTAAAATATTGTTGTATACATAGACACAAAAAGCAGAATTTAAGTTTTGTTAACTTGGTTAGTAAACTACCAAGCCGTAGTGCAAATGAATATTCAATTTCTTTTGCAATAATTGTATTCACTTAATATTCTTGAAATATGATCTAAAGAAGGAATGTTCTCGGAAGATTAAAGAAGTGTTTAAATCTAGTGATATTACGTTTGTCTTACAAGCTTAGGATCAAAACGATTCTGCAATTGCCCGAGTAGTTGACTTGTAAATGGCTGTGAATTAAGCAGATGACTTTTAATCTTACGTTTTCAGTCAGAAAACGTATTCCAAATGTTTTGTATTGCATGACAATGCATCTTTTCATTATTCAATAACCAATCGGAGAACCGCTTGTGCTCCGAAAATAAGTATGTGTACTCAATTGTCCTGCATATTCTTCAAATTTGTCTTCTTATGATTTTTTCCTCCCCAAAACTAAAGGCCTGAAGAGACAAAAGGAGTATGACATCTACTTTTAGAGGCATGTCAAAAACAGATCTCTACAAGCCTTCTCTTCCATTACATGTTGTGCATTCAGTCAAATAGTTGCATCAGCGTAAATTCTATAATCTATTTTTTGTTACACTCTTATACCTTTATTAACATACAGTGAATATATACTAAACCTTTTACTTCAGCTTCAGTAATTTGGAAGTTTTGATGGAATTGTTGTCAGAACTAGGACTTAGAAGATAAGTCAAATTGAATATTTTTGATAATTCAATAAATTCATGATCGAAGTTTCAATATTTTATTTTTCGGAGGGAGGGGAAATTTTTTCAGTTTTGGTCTAATATCCTAAGTATATTTGCTTCGATTCTTAATTTTTTCCATAAAAGCGAAAATCTTACGCATGGTATACATATAACGCATAGCTTCAAATTAAAATTTAATAATATACAGGGTGGTTATAATTAAAATTTCACTTTGAAACGGTCATAAAAGGAAAACTACTGGATCAAATGTTATCAAACTTTGTAACCGTGTAAAGGATGTCATGGGAATTCATTTTCCGCGAAAATGAACTCATATAGAAACCAAGAATTCATCAACAAAGAATGTCTGTTGGCATCAGTTCTGGCCACAAATTGCCAACAAATTAAAAAAAAATTCCATCAACTGGAAAATAAGCCAAAAAAACTTCACAAAAAGCAAAGGTGGTGCAAGATTTTCAGATATGGAAGAAATCGAAGAATTAGTTGAGAATGACAAAGGAACTGGATGGTCTTGTAATACAAGCAGATAATGAAAGGAGACAAACTGCCTTTAATGTACACTGTGCAAAAAGAAGAAAAAAAAGGGGGTACAGTTTTAGAGCTCCAGTTCTACTGGGCCGATTGATGAAATTCAAATTGGGCTTTTTATGTCTCGAAAGCATGGCTTAGGATATGTATTAGATTTATATATAACACTGCCCTAATATAGGTATTTTGATATAAAATTTGATATATTTTGATATAACTTTTTCTTAAATGACAAGCCAATTTTTTCCCCATATTTCGATTCTACAATTCAAGTTATGCAAAACTGTCTAGTTTTGTAAAAATCGCATGAGTAGTTTACATTTATTATCATCTTTTTTTTTATTAAACTTACTTGATTCCTTCTTTCAAAATTCGAAATTTAAGCTTAATCCAAGTATAATTGGCAATTTTTTATGATTTATTTTAAAATTTTGTATTTAAAAATATTTTTGAATAAAATATATAATATAAATTTTTCAAATACAATTTTGTATATTGTTATAACCTATAAAATTTTGACCATCATCTTAAAGTAGATGTATCTCTAGGCATATCTGCAAAAAATTAAGTGTCTTTTTATTCAAAATTTTCCAAGATATACATGAATTTACATATTGCGGTGTTTTGAAATTTGGCAAGTTTTTTTAAGCGATAACAACACCAAATGTGGATTATGCACATTGTTAAAATTATTTGAAAGTATGAATGATGACTTTTTTCCTGTTCGTCTGCAATGAAAAAGAAAAGGAAATTAGGTTGCCATAAATTAAGAAATTTGCCTAAGTAATTTATTTTCGGCAAAAACTATGGAAAAATATTGGTGTGTCAATTTAGAAAAAGTCTAATTTTGTTTCAAAATACCTATGTTTCAATGATGCTATATATATGTATATAAATCTAATATATATCCTAAGTTGCGATTTCGAGACATGAAAAACACAATTTGAATTTTATCAATTGGCCCAGTAGAACGGGAAATATAGAAGTGCCCCCCCTTTTTTTTGTGCAGTGTACAAGAAATTAAAGAAATTGTTAAGAAAGGCATAGAAACTGTCTGATTTTGTAATAGAGATTAACCCAAAGAAAGAAAGAGAAGGATACTTTATGACAGGTACTGAAAACTTTGGGACTCCTTACCATAAAAATGTTAGGGTGCTCCACTGTCCAAGCTTTTTTTTTTTTTTTTTTAAAAGGAGTAACTGCATCATGTACCTATTTAAAAGTAATAACTGAAATCCTTTCAATTAACATTCATTTCATTTTCTCCTTTTAATTACAGTGTTATTTGTGTTAATTATACATATTTTCTTAATCTGAACTTTACCTACCCCCCCCGAAATTTAACTTTGCAGAACGTTAGTGATTTTGCCATACGCATAGTATAACAACAACAACAACAAAAAAAAAAAAAAAAAAAAAAAAAAAAAAAAAAAAAAAAAAAAAAAAAAAAAAAAAGATTTTGGACGTCTGAAAGCAATTGAATTTTCTCTAAATTATATCTAAAACAAAACCTTGTGATTCAGATGAGAACTTCTGCTTTGTGAGTGAGAGCATATACGTATCCAGAAACGTCATTCTCCAGTTCTCCAATGAGCATCGAACTCCGCTGTGTGTCATCTGGCATATATTAGTCAATGAGCAAAAAGCAAGCACAAGGCTGTTATTTCGATGTTCTTTAGTTATTTTGTTCATCTTGTCCTGAGTTGCTCGAGTACACGTGCCTTCGGGAAATAGTTTTAGAAATTATCATCTTTTGTTACGTCTGCAAGAAAGGTGAAATACTCGTGTACATTTCAAAAATCATACATAGTTGACTTTCCTTCCATTATTTCCACAAGGAAATTTAATAAATTTGTGATGTGTACCATCTGTCGATGCAATCTTTCGATTTCGCACAATGGAAGGGAGGATGTTCTCAAACATGTGCGTACACAAAAACAACAAGAGTTGAAAAAACGAAAAATTAAATTTTTCTATGGAAACAAAGGACCGACCAAACATTTATTAATGAAGAATGTCTGTTCTCTGAAGAGACTTTCAGAAGAGGACAAAAATAAGTTTTATCTTCATGTTACAAGTTACTTCTGTCGAGTATGTGATTACATACTACATAAATTTCTAGTCAACGATGAAGTGTTTTTGCATGCTAAAGTTGTTGATGTTTCTGCTCTAGCAAATGCATCGTTTTCTGATATAAGGTACTTTTTGAACAGATTTCATGTGTTACTTCATTTAGTCATGAAAGATGATGATATTGATGTTGCCACTGATAATATTGCAGTCGCAATTTTGCAGTTTACAATTAGAAAACTTGGATGAAGCTATAATCAGCTAGGATTGACACCTAGTGGAGTTTAAATGGAAAACTGAAAGGTGCTGATGGAATTTTAAAATATAGTGAACTGTCTAGAATTATGTTGGCCATCTTGACAGTTCCCCATAGTAATGCAGAGTGCTAGAGGATTTTCAGTGTTGTTGCGAAAACGAGGACTAAATTTAAATCTAATATTAGTGATGACACCATTAGAAAAACTTTTATTAGCGAAAGCAGGCTTACGTGGCAATTGCTATGAACAAAATTATGAAGTTTCTTTAATGAAAGCAAAATCTGCCACTGTTCATAACATTTGTACAAAAACTGATTAAAGTGTGTCTTTTTTTTTTCTTTTCTTAAATGATGCAAGTAATAAATATGTCTTTTACAAGTTGCTTGCATTTAAGAGTTAGTAACAATTTAAAGTTAATTCATTATTAAAAACTATATTTTTATCATTTAAAAAGTCTTTTTAACATTGTGAAAAATCTCCTGATTTTTTAGTGTCATAGGTTGGCGGTGTGGTGTATTTAATTATGGTAAAGCACACTAGGGCTATCTGCCTAAGGGGAGGGGTGCCTTTCGTGGAGGACTTTCTAAGAGAAACTGGCTCGTATACACGTTACACATGGGGAAAACCACGAAAACACCCATGCAGCCAGCCCGTTCGCGGGATTCGAACCTCGGACCGAACTACCAGCGTTCAGCGACTTTACCACTCGGCCGCTGGTGGGCATCATAGGTTGGCAAGTATGCTGTATGTACTAAGTAAGTCTTTTCTGTTTTGTAAAAAACTCCAGAATTGCATTAAGGTGATTGCACTAAAACATAAGTATTTTTCCTCTTCTATTTTTTATCTCTTGAATTTTTTTTAAATGCATTTTTTGTCAAATAAATTCGAGCTTTCTCAGCTTTTTAATTACTTATATTCATAAAAGGTTTTCCATCTTCCTGTTTTGTTGACAAAGAAACCATTAAGGAAATATAAGGTGGAATAACACAAAAATTTTGAATTTTATATAATTAATAAAATAAATTCAAATTACAAACCTGTTTGTTAGCAAATATCAGTAAGACAGCATCTCTAAGTTCATCTTCAGCTAACATTCTCATTAATTCTTCTCTCGCCTCTCCAATACGTTCTCTGTCATTACTGTCAACTACAAATATCAAACCTAAAAGAATTTAATATAATTAATGGACACATGAAAATTCTGCTCCAGCCTCTAATATACCACAAAAGTATTTTTAAAAAATGTCAACTTCTAAAATACTGTATATTCTGGTGTTTAATGCACACCTTTAATTTGAAACGACATTTTTTAATTTTTAGGTATATTCACCATAAAATGCACATGCTTTTCTTTAAGAAGAAACTGAAAGATACATGCATGCTGCTCTTATCTTTTGAAGTCATAAATTCGAAGATTTTCAAAGGCACATTGAATTGACAGGCAATAAGGGTAATAATATGCGTGAGAGGGGGGAACACTTGAAGGAGTAAATAATTCTGCAAAGATGATGGTATGTACACAATGCAAGGGTGTACAAGAATGCTATTCTAGGGTTTTGAGAAAATGGGGAGAATAATTTGGAGTAAGAATGCATTTCCGAGGCAAATGAATTCATGGAATTAGGAGAAAGATGTTTTCTCTTTCTGTAGCCATGTGAGGCTCTGATTTTGACAAATCACATTTGCTTTAGTTGAAAAAAGTTGATCTAATATTCCTTTTAGTAGTTCATATGGCTCCAGCCATATATACTATGAAAGAAACAATGTGCTGGTTTCAAATGCAGAGCCATTCAATTTGTGAAAGAAAATGGAAATCTGCTGCAGGAAGGATGTTTGGTATCGGTAAAAGCTTACTATATGAGTGGAAGTAAATATGTCAAAAAATAAATGCACTTTGCATAAAGGATTAATGGAATGTTTTATCCTACAAGAAAGTATTGGTCCTAGAAAATACCATAATGGATTAATTGTTTCAAGAAACAACATACATTTATTTGCCTTCAAAGTGACAAAAAAGAATACAATGAAAGTGAAAAGTAACTTTAAGTTGACATAGTCAATATATAGCATGAAATAATTTAGTTCTATGAGGAAAAACAAGTTTCACACAGGCTTCTGAAAGATTTGGACAACTGATAAGTTTCCAAAAGTATGTTATTCAACTATGAAATCAAAAAAATTACTTCCGAAAATATGGATAAAACTCCATTAATTGTTTGATATAATAGGAAATAAATGATGTGACAGGAACAAAAATACTTCACATAAAAACAACAGGTCATGAAAAATCTCACCTCACCTCACCTCACTGTAGTGCTTTCCAGCTTAGCAGAAAGTACAAAATTAAATCTCACGGTTATGTTTAAAAGAAAGACATTTTAAAAATGCGATTTCCCAAATGGTATTTTTCTCCATGTTCACGAAAACGCCAATGGTCAAAAACAGTGTGAAATCGTAAATAAGAAATGTTAGGGAAAAGCGTCCTGTTGCCTTACAGATTCTAGGAAGTCTTTTAGTTCGGGACATGTTCAGATCCCGTATAATGGATAATAAAAAGAAATTGCTGGAAAAGTATAATATAGTAATTCCAGCACTATGGCAGTTATTCCACGCAGATTATCGCCATTAGTTTAGCCTACAGATGTGTGTATCAATACACCACTTAAAGAAAATTTAAGGGGCAATGGAATACGTGGACGTTAGAAAGTGAAAAAACATTTGCAAAAGAAGGCCGAATATGTCATGCCAGTAAAGGAGTAATGTGTGAGTGGATTAATAAAAGCATGGAATGAAATTATTCCAGATTTAAAAAATGGAATTATATCTATCTAGATGGAATGGAAGATGAATATTTATTTACGGATCAAAGCAACAGTGATGGTGAACATGCAACAGAATTCAGAGATGTGCTTGAAGATATCAGGAAAGATGAATATGAAGAACTTCATGTTATACAACAATGAAAATTAAGATAAGGTATATATTTAAAAACAAATAAACAGCATTTAGGTACATGTAGAAATCTAATTTTTATACACTCTTCGTTCCCTTTTCCTAATTTTTATATCTGGTGCATAACACACATTGTAAATTTCAATCTTATTTTTTCGTATTAAATGTGCACAATATATGCTGGAATATACAGCATATTTGAATTAAAAATCTTATATATTTATTAGCTTTGTAATCGCAAACATCAGAACTGAGGGGTAGGGGATAAAAAAACTTGCACTGAGTGAAATTACATAAAAAGCTTTCAGATTTTATATTATGCCCAGGGCATTTTTCTTTAATGTTTGTGTGTTACCTTTATTAAATATCCCATTTTTTGCACATAAAGCATAAAATTCAATTCAACAGCAATATCCAAAAAATGTTTAAAAGAGCATAACTTTAGAATTTCCGATAGATAGTCTAGCGCTGGAGATAAATCCCCCCCCGTACAGTGCTGCCACTGCTCGCTTTGGAATCGTTGAATTTCTTAATAAATTAATAATTATCCTACCAAATTTTCTAAAAAAGTCAAAATTTTGTTCGCATTCCCATTCAAATGAGCACAGATTATACACAAATTATCTGAATTCCAGTGCACTTTAGCTATCAGGTAACAAACTGTTGTGCTCTATCAAGAAAAGAAAATTCTTTCAAGTACTGGCCTTGTAAGAGCAATCATGAAATGAAACCTTGTAAGTATATACAGGTAAATAAATAATGCCCCAGGAACTGCCTTAATGGAGGACAGCACCATCGAAGTAACATCTGTAACAAATTGTTTTCACAGATAAAAAATTCCCTTTTTAGACGGCATTATGCTCTACTAATTGTTGGTCAAAAGAAAAAACATTAATCATATAATATGAAAAATCACTATTACCAAACCATTGGCTGGTTTAACTAACTTTACAGAAGCAGCTTTGCTCGAAAAATCTGGTTCAATGCAATAAAATTATTATACTACTATGTCTTTGTAGAAAAAATATAGCTGGATGCACATACACAGTGGGCATGCAATGATATGTGGTATATTATTTCATGGAAGAAAAAGTGTTTTTGGTTTGAAATCCCAATCCGATATGCCAAAACTCTTTTGCAAGATATCATTTGGAGTCCAATTTTGCTATATTTATGTGGCATGAATAAAAAGACCCCAAAAATAGTTTTGAAGCTATTCGAATGACAACTGCAATTATGGCGGTGAAAAAATTTCTTGAACTTCGATAGGCATTCTTTTTATGAAAGGGTTACCTTAAAAATCTATGTGTACTTAAATAAGTTGTCAGCTAAAGCATCCTTAAATGAAATACTTACCTTGAGTATTCTGAAAGTAATGTCGCCAAAGAGGTCTGATTTTATCTTGGCCACCAACATCCCAAACAGTAAAACTTATATTTTTATATTCCACAGTTTCTACATTGAAACCTGAAAATAACAAATTAGTGACTTGTATGAGAAAATTTTTCTACTGAAAACAATTTTATACATAGTTATTAAATGTACAGTTATCTAAATAGCTAAGAACATATTTCACATAATCAAATGTATTTAAATATGAATTCTAACCTATATCTGAGAAACAGTTTTTAATTCGTGATTTACTTAAAAAAATAAGACAGCTGCCAACTGCGAAAACCCTGCTAGTTTTCATGCTACACAACGACACGACTTCAAGATAACGTTGAATCAACATAATTCCACTTTATAATGCATAAGCAACTGAACTGTTTAACTGCACAGCCAACAACCTTCAAATGTAAAAAAAGCTTCTGGAAGATGCTTATGCTGGTGCCATCTCAAAAGACTGAAAATTTACTTTAATTTTATAGCATACTATTTAGGTTACTACATTATAATATGATTTGGTATACACATATTATCCTGTCTACCATGAAACTGCAGCCAAACAAGATGATTTACAGCCAATTATGGATAAGGGGGACATAACAACACTTATAATATGTGCTTTCATTTGATACAATCCCAACTGATTCTCCTGTTATGTTTTGCTTTTATGAACAAGGATATAAACTATTACTGCTGTATTTTTTCCTTACATTTTAGGGGAAGGGTAAAAATAAGGTGAAAATTTGGCAAAATTAAGCAGTGTGGTTTATTTTCATAATTATGGATCCTTTTTTTTTAAAGTATGCATCAATGGAAATGATAGTCAGGTGAATTTGGCTGATGAAACGATTATCGGCAAAGTAAGCACTCAACAAAATAACAGAAATTGACAGAATCCTTTTTAATGTCAATATTTAATTAGATATTGAAAATGTTAATTCTTTGGCTAATTTCATTTTGTAATCTTCTTACACTTTTATACTGAGAAAAGTCTTACACGAGAATGAAAAAGTTAATGAAGTCTTAAGTACGACACAAATAAAATTAATAATGTATCACATATTTATGCAAGACAAAATTAAATCATATAGTAGCTGATTAGAAAGCCATAATAGGCTACAATTTTCATAAAAACATTCTATAGATGTCTACAGTACATTAAATTACATGACAACCTATGACACTTAAAAATCAAGATTTTCTCAATGACAAAAAGAGAGTTTTTAAATGATAAAAATATCTAGAAAGAAAAATATTTTTTAATAATGAATTTACTTTAAATAGTATTTAATTAATACCTGAAAGTTCAGTTAATTCTTAAATGCAAAAAAGTACCTAAAAATTATTATTTGTACAGGGTTCGTACACATTTCTGCACGCAGAAATTAAGGACTTTTAAGGACAATTAATGAAAAAATTAAGGACCTATTGGCAAATGGAAGCTGAATAAATTCAGTTAAAGATATTATCTATGCCTGAACTTCACTTTTATAATGCCATTTTAAGACTAAAATAGAACCGCAAGTGGGATGCATTATTATTAAACATAATTATGAAATAAAATTGAACATAAAAATCAACTTTAAAAAGTAGCATTGGATATTGTACACTTACTTACAATAGTTGGACATATTTGAAGATAGTGGCATTTTATTTATGTTTTACTGTAGGGTTTTTCTTAATTTGCATAACAAATTTATTTTAAGTTTTCCTGTTCTCAACTTCTCAAACTTCATCTCACATTCTCTTGTCAGGATGTAAATTTAAAGTGAAGTGCTATTTAAACGTGTGATTATCTCAGTTTACTCAATTTATTTATTATTATTATTCGCTAGCCTAGCACAAGTTTCATTGTTATTTCGTGGTCACTCGAGTAAGCCTTTTGGCCTTATCAGTTTAGTATCACAGCGGTTAGATTTCTGCGAGTCCATCTCTTAGGAGTAATTTTGAAGTGCATTCTTGCACTCGTTTATTTTTCAGATTTTGATTTGTATCCTAGTCTACACTTCGTTATCGCCACAAGTGAACAGTATTTTTGTAATGCAGGAAATCCGTGCTGTCTGTTATTTTAGTTTGAGTTAATAAAGGGTTATTTTGCACTCTTCTTCTGTGCTGGTAGTTATTTCACGCCTATGCGAGAATTCGCCAGGTTCATTGTAGGATCTAAATTAGTGTATGTGGGAAAGCAGAGATAGATCTTACATTACTAACAGCTTAACACTGATTTTTTTTCTTTTGTCTCAATTTGCCACATACTTCCTCAGGCTAGAGGTTTAGTAAATAGTAGGCAGATTTTATGTCAAATGGCAGAGGATTTTATGTCAAATAAAGTTATAATCAGCATGACTCGTAACAGAAGCTTGGTGTTGCCACTGCTGCTGCTTCTCTAGAGAGAAACCTGCTGATCAGTAAAACCATAGATCTGATGTATCTATGGTTTGCATGGTTTGAAAGTTAGTTGTACTCTGTCTGATGCAGATAGTGCCATAGTTTCGTATAGAGCTTCTGGAGTTATAATCCAGTTAACACAATTTAAGGTACCAATAAGATACTCAAGCTCCAGAGGACAAGTTGTTTTGTATTATTTTAAGTTTCACTAGATGCAAAGAATAAATTTTAGATAAATTTTCATTCTTGTGCTGTCTTATAATCACGATAGGGATTAATGAAAGGCAATAAATCGCTTTGATATGCAGAGATCATTACAAAACTATTACAAATAATTAAACTAGGTAGTTACATACTTTTAGTTATTATAAATTTACAAGGCCACTATAATTATAAAATGTTTGTCAAAAAGCCTCATTAAAATCGCAATCTAATAACATCTCACAGTTACTCTCACTTGCATTTTAGCAAGTAATTTATGACACTGATTCTTAAACACTATTAGGATCATTACACATTAAAAAGTGAAAGAAAATTTACAAAAATCCAATTCTTCTTACTCTTGTAAAAAGCACTAAACAAATAAGTGGGCGATTCTGCACTTTAGCAGCAAAATTGTTTCGAAGTGCTTATTAGCTAAAATCATGATCGGAATTTTCTGAAAAATGTCACATTACATGTCTCATGATCTCTCATTTCTCCGAGACAAAATAATCTGTGATTTCGCCAAACTACCTGTTACCATATTCCAAAGATTAGCCCAATCATGTTTTTACTGAATATTTCAGACTTAAGTAATGTCCATACAGATTAATTTTATCTACATTTATTTGCTTATACCATATACAGCAGAAGTCCAGAAATCCACAATGCTTGGGACCAGAGGTTGTGCGGATTTTGCGGATTTCAGGACAGAAAAGATAAAATGTTTGGACTAAAAGTGCAAAATAAATAAGGCGTATTAGATACATTTTATTAAATTATTATATACATTATTGCAATAATTTATTATATGCATTAAATGATTATTACATATATAAATTGATTATATTATTCATTGTATTATATGTACACATCCACACAGAGGTTTGCCGATTTCGCATCACGCAAAGACTTTCGGTCTTCGAATCACTGTTGCTGTAAAATTTCAACAGCTTATCTTTATTTTTCCATATATCATACACAATCATGTTGCATTACCGTCAAAGCAATGTGTTTACGTTTTTCAATGTTACAAGCAGTAAAATTATTTGTGTGATTCTTGTCATTGTATTAAAAGAGATGAAATTTAAAATATTCTTAATTTATCCACAAAATACCAGGATAAAAAAAAAGGCAGCACTAAACAATCTCGTGGAATAACAAAGCTCAGAAAATATACAACAACTTGAATCGTGAACTTGAACGAAGAGTTGAGTGAATCGTCTGCTTTTTTACCTCGATGCAGAAATTAGAAGGAAAAAACTATCTTATTTTATAAAACTTTTTTATGTCAATAATTTGGTATTTCCGTTATGACTCGTTATTATGACCTCATTATTCGGTAAGTATTTGTTCTTCAATATTTCGTACTCAATGTTGCGGTTTCCGGAACCTATAAACTGAATGTTTATATTTTGAGAGGCAACACAGATTTTCAGTATTTGACTAATAACTAAGAAAATAAACATTGCAAGTAGTCTATATTTTAGGGTACCCCTTGGATTATCCTTAAGTTGTTTCAATTATGGTAACCCGAGTAGTTGAATGTTATAGAAATCTTATTAGGACGTTATTGCAGTGAATTTGACCAATAGAAAAATATTTGTAAGGGGTTATTTCTGCATTGGACGTCAGGAAGTACACTGCTTATTCTGGGCTGTACACGATAAAATAGCTGTATGTGATGAAATTAATCTGAAGTTCTATACAATTTGGAACGAAAGGGGAAAAAGCATTAATTGACTGGTGTGTAAATAAAGGTTTACTTATTAGTCATTATAAGTGTCCTGTTTGTATGAAGGAAATGCGTATGGTCGAATGTAAAGATTGTTCAGATGGCTTTGTCGTTAAGAAATGCCACCGACAGTACAGAGGATATTTTTTACTCTTATTTTTGTGAATTTATGTGATGACAATATGCATATTCTAGTTCAGATAATTTTAGAAAGTTTTTGGATGCTGTTAAGGAATCCTGTGTGCCACAGAAATTTCTAAATATGGCAAATCACTATTTCTTCTTATAGTGTGTATATGCAATAACATACATTTCCTTTTATGTTATTTTATTTTGTGATTTAAAATGCAGTTTATTTAATCTGGAGTAATTTTACTTTAACATTATATGACATCATTATTCTCCTTTTTCAAGTGAAAATAGATAGATGTGTACATGGACAATTGAGTGTGCAATGCTGAGTTTGTGCAATTCTCTGATGTTTTTTGAAGTGAATATAGACGGATGTCTGCATGAACACCGAATTTGCAATTCTTTGATTTGTTATTTTGGTTTTGTGTAGAGGCCATCTCGAAATTGTGCCTTGCTGGCCATTCGCCAAGGGGCATCCCGGAATACATTTTCTTCAACATTGCAACAAAAAGCAGTATGCAGAAAGAATTTCTTATTCAAGGAAAGGTAATTACAATATTAGTTCCAAAGGCTGATTAGAATTAAATTTCAAATCTTTAATGAAAGTGAAATCAAAATTGTTCATTAAAATTCCAGAATACAAGCTGAAATTGTTGGAACATAAAAGTTAATGGACAACAATCCCTATTACTCTTTTAGAGATGGTTAATAACATTTAATGGAAATTTGAACACTTAATAAGTTGCCACGAGAATTCTGCAATCCAGAAATGACAAAACTAAATTCAGTATTTAACAATTTACACACGCATACTGAATTAAAAGCAACAAATTATTAGAACTGGAATGCAAGAAAAATAAGTTGGCAGCCATTGCAAACACAAAATAAATAATTACTTGTTCACTAATGATTATTTTTGTTTCTGCACAAGAAACTGGCTTTGTTCACAATGCTATCTGTTAATCAATACATAAAAAAATTTTCCGATCCATCATCCATGTTTAAATAGTTAGGTATTTTCTGATCACTCACACCTTCAATTAAAAACAAAAAATTATTGAGACAATGCACCATGTAATGTAAAAGTACCTATGTGACAAGGCAAACATGCACATAACACCCCTGGGCTGAATTTTCCCTTTTCTGGATATTTTAGACAGTGTGACTACAAATTATAATCCCTTTCATGGGAACTTTAATATTTCAGCATATCAATGGGCAGCATACTGTACTTTTTGGCAGTCCGAAATTTGCTTTTTGTACACAGCATAATGTGGCTCATTTAAAGCCATTACACAGTTTTTTTTCCCTTCTCATTTGGTAATTTGTATAAATTTGGCTGCCGATAGTGTGCTTGATGCTGAGTTTGTGCAATTCTTCGATCTTTCCAATTTATTACATTTACAGAAAGGTGATTCATTATAATATTGACTCCATAGACCGATTAGAATTGATATTTTTATTAAAATGAATTAAAAACTATTATAAATTCTTGAATACAAATATTTTTTAAATACACAACTAAATCTCAGATGCTAATCACCAACTCTAGAAATGACCAATATTATTTAGAACATCAATATTAAATATTTTTCCTCCTAATGTATTATTACCACAGAAGTCTGAAACCATTAGTGGTGGTTTTAGGAAGCTCCCAACATAATTCATAGCAAATAATTGTAACTGTGTTATACAATAAATCAAATATATTAACCATTAAAGAAAAACATACCTATAGTAGGAATTGTAGTTACTATTTCTCCCAATTTTAATTTGTATAAAATTGTTGTTTTACCAGCAGCATCAAGACCAACCATTAATATTCGCATTTCTTTTTTGCCGAAAAGGCCTTTGAATAGATTGGCAAATATATTTCCCATCCTGAATGATGCTCACAATTCTTTTTTCTGTAATACAAATTATAAATTTTCATATATTAAGATCTAAGTGCCGAAAATATCTTAATATTTTTACATTACAAAATATTTTAAATACGACTGACTACATCTGAATGGTCAGATTAACAGGCGAAAAGTTTCATCATACAAGTTATAAATGAAAAATAATTAGAGAAATATGACCATACATAGAATGCCATACGATAGATTATATCACACAGTTAAAATCAAATAAAATTTAAAAGGATCTCCAGTAGTAAAACAAAACATAGATCATTTTAAAAACCACAGCCGCACGAACAAAAAAATTCGTTAAACAAATGCTTCATGCATTTAAAAATAATTAAACATCTCGAATAGCCAAGTAAATTATATTTTACACAAATTATAAAAGTGCTGACATTAATTTAACATAGTTAAAAAATAACATTTCAAGTAATTGTACTAACAGGAAAGTTTATACGAAGTTAGAATTTTATAATACACTCAGATGTTAATTACTCGCATGTAAAAGCAATTAAACTCATTGCTTAATATTTACCTTTGTTATATTAATAATTTTCACACAATTAGATGACAGAAATTTAAACAGGTAAGACGTATTTGAACGATTTGAACTCGTCCCACCGGTAAACGTTTAACGCAGAAAATGGCGGGCATGGAAAGGAGTTGACAGGCTTATGCCACGTCTCGACACAGTAAGTACGCGGCAGAGCTTACCAGTTCCTTAACTGGGAAAATATAACGGAGCTAATATGTCGTTAACAAAAATCGGAGAATATTTTTAATAATAATATTGCAAATAAATATATCTTAATACTTTTATTTTCAGGAAAACATTGGTAATGAAGTCGTTATTTTTATTCGATACTGATAATTGAATGAACATAATTTTTTAACAAAGCATAATTAAGTTATCTTTTTAGTCAGAATAGGTGATTTTTGAAAAATAAAAGCACGTTAAGCTAAAGCGTATTAATGAAATTTATTTTTCGTCTTAAACTCGTAAATGTATAATGATTATATGTTTTCTTTAACTGAAACCGTGTCAATGAAAAAAAAAGTTGTCAATATTTATCATATGATTTTTTTCATGTTTCAGAAATAATAATTGAAATGGATTAATCCTGTGTTCTGTTTATTTGCTTCTATTAGTTGAGTCACGACTTAGTGATCTATTCGGTACGTCATTAACACATACGTCATGTTGTATAAATGTAAACTGACGTGTAGCTGACTTGTCAATCATTAGAATTATCATTAGATTAATGGGAATTTTTTACTATAGCATCATATTATTATACTTACTTACAGAGATCGGAGTTTGAAGTCTAAAACTAATATTTGAAATAATATAATTCATATTTGAAATAAATAATACATATGAGACGTTTGGATTTCGATAATACTGTATAGAAGCAAACGAAAAGTGGATAATATTTTTTAAGTATAAAAATATTCTGAGAGTTAATGATTATTATCAGAATCTATTTTCATCTTTAAATGAATTGTATTATCAAATGATTAATTTCTTGAATTGAAAATGGAGTAATTACTTGTTTTCTAATTCTAATGTGAAGTTCATTTAGTTTTGTTTTAATCCTAATGACTTCTTCTTAAGAGACAGTTTTTTTTTTTTTTTTTTTTAATTTTATTTTAATAGTAAATATATTACATGGTGCTAAAGGATGGTCAGTCAACGGATGTCATATAAAGAATCAGAATTAATTTAAATTTTCATTAGTTAGCTTTTAAAAATATATAAGCCATTCAAGAAGCATTGTAAATAATTTAATTTGGGAGTCAAATTGCATTTCTGAAAGAAACAATAGTAAAATGTGCCTAACAAACAAGCTATTTCTGTAATAAGTCCTTATAAAATTCTGCTAGTAGTCTTTTTCAACAGCCGTTTTTGTTTAGTTAGTTTTGTAAATAATTAAAAGTTACATAAAGGGTGTGAACGTGTTAATTTTTCTTATGAATTGAGTTATTCCTTAATCTTCAAGATATACGTATCTTAATGTCGTATTTGCTTGAAAGCTTCTTCTTGCTCTAAGATTTTTTTAATTACAGGTACAGAATCATGGGTTCATCTTTTTATATTCTGTTTCCTTGTCTGGCATTAAATTTCTTTGTTTCACATGGATATAGAAGTAAGTTCTTTTTTGTTTGTGTAAAATGAAATTTAATCAAATATAATGTCGAAAATATACCGTAATTTGTTTTTACATGGTAGTTGGAATGGTACCTCCATGTAAAGGCTGTTCTCTACCAATTGGTGAATAGGTAAAACTGCTGAATTTAGTAGTTCGGACTGGTTTGGGTTCAATCCCAGGTGAATGGGCCGGCTGAATGATTGGTTTTGGTGCTTTCCCTCGTGTGTAACATGAATACGAGCCAGTTTGCCTTAGAAAGACCTCCATGAAGGAAACCTGCATCTTAGGCAGATAGCGCTTGTGGCTTTCCATATTCAAATAACCTGTTAGAGCAGCCGTCAAACAAGCCTTTGACAATTTGGAATTTGCAGATTACAGGCTAAACAATTAAATTTGCTAATTTTGATGACTTCAAGACAATTAATTAAACCAAAAAAAAATTAAGAAGCATTGCATAAGAATATTAAGATTTTTAAGAAATTATCTAAAAAAATGTGCGAACAGCCTCTGTAGTCCTTGATTTTTGGCAGTCCTTGATGTTGCCAAAAGTATTTATGTGGCAATCCAGGTGCATAGTGCATGTCTGCTTTGGCCTGTGTGCTATGTCGATATTGTAGGATGGCAAGTTTTAGCATATCTCTGTTGTTTTTAAAGCAAAAACAAATTATTATATGCATAGGAAGAACAATGGTACAAAAGAAAAAAGATGTAAGTAATTCTACAAATGTTGAAACCAAGGGTATAGATAAGATACCACTACAGTACTTGTGGAAAATCATGTTGACCATTTTTGCCTATTAAAGAAAAGATACCAAACTACGCGATTTTTTGCCAAAAATGGAAAAGTCTTCTTCAAACATGCTGGGTTTGGTGTAACCTTGATTACACGTGTTAGTTGTTATTATTGAGTAAAGACTCCTCCCCCCCCGTCTATCACGCATTTTTGAAAAAAAAAATTAAAATTTGAGACCTGCCTACTACAGAAGAGCATGCTATTAAATATTTCCAAAGTTATGGAATCTTACCAGCCTCAAAAAAATGTGCTAATGGCCATGAAATGGCACCTAGGGAAAAACTTAGCAAAAATAATTGCTTTTACAGTATATCTTCTTATTAAAAAAATAATGGAAATTTTTAATGAAAAATTAAATATAAATAAATGATAATAAATTTTAAAGAAAAATAAGAATAGAACGTCTTTTTATTGTATTTAATAAATTTTTTTTTTTTGGTTTGGCGTGATTGGCACCGTCTCTTGTGGTGGACGTGATTTTCTGTAAGTACCAAAACTACCACTTATTCAGTTACTTTTATCTAATTTGTTAACTAGTTTATCATTTTTGGTCAAGGAAATTATTTAATCATTTAAAATCAGAGAAAGTTAAGGAAATTAAAGGTTAAGCTTTAGTAGGGACCCAGAATTAAGTCCTTTCTTTATTAAATGAGTGCCATATGACCTTAATTTGTGACAAAATAATGTTATAGCAAGTTTTCCTTTCCCTTCCAAGGCATTGCTATTTTTTACAACTTATTTCAGATGTACAATTTTATGTTTTATGCCTTGAACTCCTGGGAGATTCATTTATAAACTAATACACTAATTATAACTGTTTGCTTTAAAATTGTGTCGATTTAAATTGGAATTGAAATGTGAAAAATAGATTACAGTTCTTTAAATTAAAAAATTTTTGTATTTTTAATATTCTAAAGTATTTTGTGACTTTCTTGAAACTTTTATGGTAAGCTGAAAATTTATAAGGTTGATCTTTACATTATGGTAACTTGGCGATTTTTTGGCGAAAATTTGGCAACCAACTCTCCTACAGCAACCCTCTTTTTTTCCCCGCCGCCATTTTGTCTTCACGAAGTAAAGACATGTTTCTTTTCTTTTTATCTACTGAACACTTCTTCCAACAATCTACTAGCCGAATTACACTTATGCTAGAAATTTTATCAAACAAAACTGCTTAATGACAAATATTCACTGCAAAATTGGGGAAAAGTGCACAATACCATAATCCTTACGCGTTTTTGAAAATAACACATACACATAAACCATGTACACACCGACTTATTTTTACTTGAAAAAACATCCCAGAATTGCACAAAAATGGCATTGCGAACACTCTTCACTATATCCATGTACACTGCTTTTTTCTCATAAATTAGAAAAATTTCACGAAAATACATGACAATTTTCTCAATTTTTAAACCCGGTAAAAAGAACATATATGAAATTACCTGATCGCGAAAAAGTATTTACCCTTTACAAATATGAACATTTCCACATATAGAATAAATAAAATATCCAAAAACTTTTACCTCTAAATCATCTATTACATTATACACGTCACCAACGAATTCATAACGCAAGCATTACAAATACTTAGTATCAAATATTTAAATTATTTCCATGCACGTTTATTTCAACTTAAACGTATACCAAATTCCTACAAACATAAAATTCACAAAGTAACTATCATTTCATTAAAATATAATTAAATTCAAAAACACTACTTAAAATATAAATGAGCACATACATTAAAAATAAAAATTACCTTACAATCCTAATTACTTTAAACTAAATCATTGCTAATAACAATTTTCCCAATAATACCAAATTCCTTTCCACCTTACATTTAGAACAAATGCATAAAAATAATATCCTCAAATAATAAAATAAAAATACTAACTTACCTAATCTTCTTCAGAATCTTGATTACGTGGCGGATACACTTTTCTAATTCATTCAATAAAATTATTGAAAGATTTTTTCTGCGAATTTTTCCTCCATACTTCCTCCGCTAAATAAAAAGCAAACTTCTCTTTATCACAATGCCTAAATACCCATTTCGAATTCACTTTAGTTAGGGCCATGGGATCCAAAAATTAAACACTGTTTCACACAACACAGAATAAAGCTAAATACAAAATTTCCACATTTTTTCCCGATTTCCCCCCTTTTCCGATTAAAGAACGGTAATTCGTCTATTAATATCACATGACATATCCCATGATCTCTCATTTCCCTCACGCAAAATAATGCGTAATCGGAACTGAGTACTGCTCACATTATTACCAAAGTCCCAGGTAGTAACCTTTATCGCCTCCAAAATGTCGCCAAACTACCAGTTACCATATTGTAAAGATCAACCATTTATAAATTATCCTGAAATTTTAGACTGTGATCTGAAATCAGAATACTCTTTGACTGTATTGCTTTGAGATATCAGACTTTAATCTTAAATTTTCAGATTGCAAATTAATTAATTAATTAAAAAGATTATATATATGTGTGTGTGTGGATGTTCAGGATTTACTTTTTAACTGGTGCGATAGAATGATACTTTTTTGTCAAGAGATTTATTTAATTAATGGACTGGACAGTGACAAATACAGATACTCAGTTTAAAATAGATGGCTAGATTAATTAATTATGATGAGTTCAAAATCAGTTAGCATCTATTAAATGCCAATTTGAGAATATCCAACTGCCATAAAGTTCACTGTTTTATACTTCAAAGGGAAGTTGACTCTGGAGAACATCTTCCTCCTACAAAGTTCAGTGATCATCTGCCTTCAGCTGTGTGGAGCTTTTGAAGAAACACTGAAAAGCAGGAGGTGTTTCCTTTCCCAAATATGTATTGTGCCATGAATGGCAGAATGATGAACCACGAAATTGTCAGAAGTCTTGTTAAACTGACATCAGTTACTCCAGCAGAAATTTGAAGAAGCAGACTGCTGTTTAATTAATTAATTAATCAACAGATACTAGTTGTAGATATAATATATAAAAATCAACAACAAACAAAACATAGTACTTTTGCTAATGGGAACATCTTAGCACAAAATACAAATATTGGTATGAAATCTGAATAGATGGCTATAACCCTAATGATACATAAGTGTTCAGGGAAAGAATATTTAGCTTTAGTGTAGAATTGGGTGTCCCTTCGATTGGCGACATTTTAAAAAAAGTTTTGGCGATGAAACCTCACTTCTGGTTACCACGATAGTTTTAACTTTGTTTTAGCTTCCTGATTTTATTCAAATGAAAATAGATTGATGTGTACATGGACATATTTAAGACAGTGCGCAATGCCTAGTTTGTGCAATTCTAGGATGTTTTTTTAAGTAAAAACAGATTGATGTGTACGTGGACAAGATCTTATGCAATTCTTCGACTTCTTATTTTGGTTATGTGTAGCGGCCATCTTGAAATTGTGACTTCCTGGTGCCGATCTTGGCGTCAGAAAAGAATCGCCAATAAACAAGGGGCACCCAATTGTAAACTTTTACCGAATATTTTATATACAAAGAAAATAATATATTTATATAATATGTAACAGGTACTTATGTATAAGTGCAACCACCATGGTCCAATTTGGTGATTTTTTACACATGAAAAAGTCACTAACAAATGAAAAGAAAACAACCTTTAGCACTTTAAAACACACATTTTAATTCTTAAATAAGGATTACCTGATACATTGAAAAAATAAATTACAGTCAAACGTCGTTAATTCGGATACCCATAATCCGGACCTCAAAGCTAAAAACTTTCTGCACTTGCGCAGCGTTGACACATGCACATAGGCATTTACGACTGCGCATATGCGTGTGCGCAAGTGCAGAATACGTTTTCGCGTGCGCGTTTAATGTATAACGGACGGTATAAGCTAAAATTATCTAATTATCTATTTCAATTAATGTTGATGATTGCATTGTTCCTTAATCTTCGAATTGGATGCGGCTTATTATTTTTTGCAGACTGTAAGAGCAATTTTATAAAAGTAAATTTGAACTTTCAATTATGTCAAATAGAATTTCCGAAGCTGGAGCTCCCAAAGGATCTACAAAACGAAAGTATGTTTCGATGTCCATCAAACAAAAAGTGGAATTGCTGCAAAAAATGGATAAAGACATGAAGAAGGTGACAGAGAGGTTAGTGAAAATGAAAAAATTTCGATTGACAAGTTAGTCGGTATTCTTGGCACAACAATTACGGGACTTGAACAGCGGAACTTTGTAACTGAACAAGAAAGTATGTCTGTTTATAGAATTAAAGAGAAAGTATTATCACATAAAACGAAGCAACTTAGTAAACAACTTACATTGAAAGAAATGTTTAATAAAGTAAACAAATAAATATTCAGCCTTTTTTTTTTTTTTTTTTTTTTTGTAAATTTTGATACCCTTTAGATCATAATTGTTCTTTATTTCATAAATTACGGTTTCGTATTTTTAATTTTAGAATTTCTGCATGCCATCTTACGAGATTTAAACTGATGATCTATAATCCGGAATCGCCGAAGTCCCGATGAGTCCGGATTAACGACTTTTGACTGTACTTACATTCATCACCAAATCTTTCTGTATTTTTTTTCCTATTCTACTTTCAGAGTATGCAGAATTAGAGGACTGTAGAGATTTGGAATTGCACAAACCTTGGTAACACTAGCTAGCTACCAAATGTATCTTCTGTTTTTACCAAACCTGTTTCCTCATTACCACATGTATCCCTAGAGATTTTTTGGCAATATTTTGTATTCCTGCAGAAATATTACTGCAGTTTCTTCTATTGCTGACAAATTCCACAAGCACATATTTTAAAATTAAGTTTAAGACAAAAAATATCATGATTTGTTTGTAAAAAACATTGAGACTTAGAACACAACAAAGAAAATGAATACAATAATGGTTACATTGCTGAACTGAAGGATGTACTTGATTGACAGAGTTTGACTCATTGTGAAAATTTGGCAACTTCTATTAAGGTGTTTGCAACACATAAAACCGTTTAATGTATGCAGCGCCGGGCTGTGAATGATACCGAATTTGTGCAGTATTCTGATTTTTTTTCTTTTCAAGGGAAACAGATCGCTGTGTATGTGGGTACAGCAAAACTATTGTTCTGCCCATGTACACTATAACCTGTTTTCACCAGAAAAAATCAGAGAATTGCATAAATTCGGCATTTCTCATGATAAACATTATATATATATATTTTTTCATTGCAAGGCTGTTCATAGTGTGATATAAATAGGCTATCACATTTGGGGCTTTGGCACACATTTGGCAACTGCCACCCATCAACAAAAAAGTTAAACAAACAAACAAACAACAAAAAAAAAAAAAAAAAAAAAACATGATCATAGACTTCCAGGTGTGAAAGAATAGTCCCAATATAGCTCATGTAAGTCGTAAAAGTCAACTGAACTGGGTACCCAGTATCCGAGGGTATAGCTGGGCACCCCTGCCATCAGGAGGTTTATAAATTTGGAGGCTTGGTCCTCCAGGTTGGGGGTTGGGCATGAGGCCAACTACCTCACCCCATAAAAAAAACTCTTGTTACGAAATCAGAGGAAGAATTTTCTGGACTGTCGATGTGGACGCGACTTGGAAAAAATTTGAGATTTGGTACATGGAATTTATACTCACTTTGCAGAACCAAGGGTCTATCCTTTTTAATGGAAATCATAGTTATGGGATTGATTTGATGACTCTTTAGGAAATGAGATGGATTGGACAGAGAATTCAAGATGGCAGAAATAGCATCGTATTTTATAGTTGTGATCCTAAGAAACATGTTTGGTACAGGTTTCTTTGTTCCTAAGAGGATTAAGCATCTTACCATTGATTTTGAGGCCAAATCGCCTAGGCTGTTCTAGATTAGATTGAGAGGCAATCCTTCAACCTATAACATAATAAATATACATGCCTCAACAGAGGACAAAGATGAGGAAGAAAAAGATACCTTTTACGAAAAAAAACTATGCATTGTATTCTTCCAGTCCCAAACATGTTATAAAAATAGAGTTGGGTGATGCAAATGCCAAGTGGTGGGTCTGAACTTGGGAAAGAAGACAAGTTCAGACCCATCACTTTTGGGCACAGTCTACATTGCAACTCAAATAATAACAGATAGAGGTTGATATTTTTTACTGCAGAACATGATATGATGGTGGCCAGTACTTGCTTTCCACACAAGTGTAAACACAAAATGACGTGGAGATCTTCAGATAGTGACACCTTTAATCACAGTCTTAATCAGTCTTAGATACGTATCAGACATACTGGGTGTCAGATTATATCATGGAGCAAATTTCAACTCGGACCATTACTTAGTAATGATGAAAATTAGAGCAAGAGTTTCTAATGCCCATAAAAAATAAGGGGTGAAATTAGAAAAATATAACTGTCAGATGTTGACAGATATTAAGCAAAGATACTAGAATTAATTGTAAATGAAATTGAAAAACATTAAATTGGACGAACTGGAAAGTTTGATGAAAAATAGAATTCACTAAAATTGGCTATTATGGCAACTCTGTCATAGGAAAAGTTGAAAAAAAAAATGTAATGATTGGTTTGACCTGGAGCGCACAGCTGCTACCAAACTTATAGATAAGGCATATAAGAACATGATACAAAGAAAACACCAGCGTAGCTGTTGACGAATACGAATGTGCCAGAAAAAAGGAAAAAAAGATCCACCGTTTTGAAAAGATGAACTTTCATCAAAATCTCTTAAAGGATGTTGAACATCTTAGTAGTAGGGAAAAACAGAGCTTTCTTTCATGAGATTAATCATATATGAAGAAGTTTCAAGCCAAGAACTACACTGCGCAGAGGGAAAGATGGCAGTATTTTAAATGCAAAAGGTGACATTCTTCAGAAATGGAGGGAGCACCTGAATGAGTTATGAATTCTGACTTGCCTTTAGAAGTTAGTTGATCAACAATCAGAAATTTAGAGCGTATTGATCCCCCCTCATTGACAGAAGTGAATAATGCTATAAAAAAAAAACTAAAAAACAATAAATCTCCTGGACCTGAGAATATACCATCAAAATTTTTAAAATTTGTTGGACCTAACTGTCTACAGCTTATAAAAGAATTGACAGACTTTTGCTGTTTTATGATAACTTGATAGGTGACTATCAATCTAGATTTAGGAAAGGATGATCTACAAGAGCAAATTTTCAACGTAAAACAGATTCTTTAAAAATGTAGAGAATTTGGAATCGAGACTCACAATGTTTTTATCGATTTTAGAACAGCATATTAACAGAGAACTTCTCATAAAAGCTGTGCATGAATTGAAAATTCCAGAAAAACTTGTTGCACTTGTAGCCTTGACTCTCGAAGAAACTATAGTTGGAGTATGCATGCAGGGTGATTGCATAGAACAGCTTGAGGTAAAAAATAGAGTGTGACGAGGGGATACATTGGCATGCCCTTTGTTTAACATAGCATTCAAAAAAGTTATTAGAGACCTAAAGATCAGTATTAGAGGAAATATTTTTACTAAGTCACTTCAAATACTGGCTTATGCTGATGACATTGGCATTATAGCCGGAACTGCACTGTCTCTCAAACAGGCATTTATGGCTCTGGAACAAAGTGCTAAAAGAATTGATTTATTCGTAAATGAAAATAAAACTAAATATTTACCTTGCTTAAAGTCTGACTTACAACTTATTCACTTAGAAATTGGCAATATAAATTTGAAAAAGTTAACAGTTTTACTTATTTGGTAATGAAGATAAATAATAAAAATGTGTTGGCCCCAGAAATATATAAAAGAATCATTGCTGCAAATAGATGTTTTTATGCCCTGAAGAGTTATTTAAAATCCAGCTTTCTTAAATTAAGCTTTCTTAAATTAGTAATTAAATTGCTTCTTTACAAAATTCTTATGTCTTGCCTTATGCATCAGAGACTGGGGCAAACAAGGAATATGATGAGGAAGCTTTGGGAATTTTTGAGCGAAAGATCTTATCTTGCATTCTTTGGAGGGGGGAGTTCAAGTAAATGGATCATGGAGAAGAAGATCTTATTTAGAACTCTATAAAATTTACAAACAACCTGATACTGTAAATTTCATCAAATTACAGAAACTTAAATGGCCTGGCCATCTGGCTGGAATGAGTGAGGATCTTTGCTGCAAGAAAATCTTTCTGGCAAAGCCCATGGAAAATAGACCTTGGGGCAGACCTCCGCTAAGATGGATTGATTGTGTTGAAAAATCTTAATATTTTAAAGTTTAAAAACTGGTAAAGAGAAAGCAGTGTGACAGGATATAAGGTAGAGATGCCTGGAGAAAGCCAAGCCATTGAAGAAGAAGACATATGCCTGTCATTCTGAGAAAGTTTGGACCACACAGATCCTCTTTATTCAGTTGGATAATCTACACATAAAGTGACTTATCAAGGATTAATGCATGTTACATGAAACTAAGCAAAGATCTTTTGAGTATGTTAAATTACCTTGCTTGCCAAAAATGGTCAACAGGAAATATGTAAAAACTATATAGAGAGAATGCATTGGAAGATTCTTATCTGAATATTTTTTAGTCTTCTTTTGCTTTCAGTATAAACTTTATTCACGCTAGAAGTTTATATTTTCTAATTAGCTTGGGTTTTTTCAACTTTATAATTGAATTTATAATTTGTTTATAAAATTCATTTATAATAATTTTGTCAGTAGTATACTTTTATTAATATAAATTTTGCCTCTGTTAAATAATAATTCATTTCTTCTAGTATCCTTCCAAAAGTACTGTCTCGGTGAATCATTGCCTGACACCTTGCCCAGTTTGGGAGAAAAGTCTTCTGGGAGCTTAATAATGAATTCAAAGCCTGAAAATGGCTCCTGGTATTTGCCTAACCTGAACTGTAGTGTGACTCTTACTGCAGAAGAGGGCTTTCGTCTTTTTTTGACTTTTTCCAATGTTAGTTTACGGAACTCAAGCATGGATAATCTCACTGTTATCTTCAATAATGAAGAATCAGATGTCGTTCTTGCTGGACAGCAAATATGCTCCAATGAAAACTGTCAGGGTTTAAAATTTGAATCTGGAAGTTTCAATAACCTAACTTTAAAATTTATTAGTGCAAATGTGTCTGTGCCCAGCAATGTGACAGGATTTAAGGCACATTATACTGTTTATGATTTAGGTGAGTTTTCTAGAATATAATGTTTAATTTATTATTAGTTATTTCCTTTTGATTTGATTGATGCTGTGCATTAACATTTTCTTACATTAAATAAATATTTAAACATGGTTTTCGCTTGCCAGGAAAATGGTTAATGGTCTGGAGAAAATTATTTTGCCCCCCTTAAAAAGATTGGGAAGAATTGGAACTTTTCCCAAAAAAACATTAAGAAGTACTGATCAAACCTTTGAAGTAATGGAAATAATTAAAATTTCATGTTTTAAGTAGTAAACAAGAAACAGAAATACTCCAACATCCAAAATCGTAAAGATTTCAAAAATTTCCAGATTTTAGATCATTTATTTAAATCTAATGAGATGACATGTCAAAATTATAAAATTTCAAATATAAAATGGCTGTTTGTGAAATAATGAAGCATTTTTATCACCTTAAGGGGACCAAAATTTATTTTAAAAAGTGCTTAATATTTACATTCTATATGCTTTATTAATTCTCTGAGTGGCACAGATTTTTGAATCTCTCTTGAAGACCTGTATTTAAACAGCATTTGTTAGCTAAATTTGTATAATTACTTATTTTAGTGAGTGTTTTCACAAACTTACATTCATTAAGATGGCATTTACATTATTAAAGAAAGTAAGGAAGCAAAATATATTAAATTATAAGCTAATATATATACCAAGTGACCAAAAAATCTCATGACCGGTTAAAGCTGGTCATGCTGCTGAGAGGATTAAATATTAATTTTAATATAATTTAAGCTTTAAAATATATATATACAGTACAAAGTTAATAATCCGAACGTCCATTATCCGGAATGATCTATAATCCTGCGTGCTTATACAGTACAAAGCCACAAACTTTTGCATGCGTGTAAAGCGTTTACGCATGCGCGCAAATCCAGTAAAGCGTTTACACATGCGCACTTCCGATAGTGAAGAAAGTGACAGAGAGGTTATTGAAAACGAAAAAATTTCGATTGAAAAAAAAAAAAAAAAAAAAAAAAAAAAAAAAAAAAAAAAAAAAAAAAAAAAAAAAAAAAACAAGTTAGTCAGTATTATCAACACAGCAATTACAGGATTTGAACAGTGGAACTTTGTAACTGAACAAGAAATTATGTCTGTTTATAGAAGAGAAAATTAAAGAGAAAGTATTAGCACAAAAAATGAAGCAACTTCAACAACTTACATTGAAAGAAATGTTTCAATGTAAGTAAACAAATATTAAGCTTTTTTTTTTTTTTTCGTAAATTTTGATACCCTTTAGATCATAATTGCTTGTTATTTCATAAATTACGGTTTCATATTTTTAATTGTATAATTTCTGCATGCCATCTTACCAGATTTAAATTGATGATCTATAATCCGGCATTGCCGAAGTCCCGATGAGTCTGGATAACGGACTTTGTACTGTATAAGCATGTGTGCTAATGCATTTCTCTTTCATTTTAGGAAAAGACATAATTTGTTGTTCATTTACAAAGTTCTGTTGTTCAAGTTATGTAATTGCCATGTCAATAATTTCTGGTAGTTGACAACTGAATGCTTTTCATTCTCTGCAGTGTTTTTATGTTACTTTTTATACTATTGATAGTGATATTTTTTAAATTTAAATCCATACTACAGATTTCTCCGTGTATTAATTGATTGATGGGGGCATTGCCACTGTAATCAGTTGCATCATCTATATTTATAATTTGTTTGCATTTCTTTATATACCCCATTAATCAGAAAATTTCACATTTCTTTTCTATATAAAGTTTTGACAGTTTTTTTTTTTTTTTTTTATTTGGCTTATTTTTTTCTTGGAAATTGTTTGGTGTTAAGTAAATACTGATTGGGATGTTGTTATCGCTATTGAAGATTTCAGTATAACATGTTTATTTAGCATTTGTTCACATATTCTATAAATCCAAAAACATCCCTTTTTTCTTCTAATAACCCAAACCTTCAAATTCGTAATTATTATCATATAAAATATACCAAAGAGTAAATCTCAGACACATCCACCCATGACCTTTTAGTGCTTCACACAAGAGATTTTATATTAAAACTGCTCAAGAATTTAGATGATCTTACAGCTTCATTGATTTTGTAAAGGCTGCTTTATATCTGCATTTCACTGAATTTGAACCTCTGATATCCATTGGCTAGATGATGGATTTGCTGTTGGAGTATCATTTACTGCAAGGATGTCAAACTCGCGGCCTGTGGGCCGCATGTGGCCCACAACAAATATTTTTGGATCCCGGCCAATATATCGGCAAATAATAACATATAATAATAAAATAACATATCGACGAAGAAAAAAATGAAATGTTTACTGCTAAGTAATTAACGATAATTTATTCAGTGTTGTTAGATTACTCACAGCGAGCTGACACACACACTACTTAAAATTACAAATGCGTGTGAGTAGCTTGCGTTCAGCTACCTTCGGCTTTTGGGGGACACGTGCACTCAGAACTTGTACGCATCCCCCGATAGCCGAATGTGGCCGAACTCATGGTCTCAGTTTTCCAATCATAGTTTTGTACGATATATTGGTGCATGCATGTGCATTGCTTTATTATTAATTATTACTTAATTCATATTGTTACGGATTTCATAGTTATTTATTTATTTAGTTTTTTTTTATTTAGAATTGTAATTAGATTTGCTTCATGTTGCCTTAGCAACGCAGACGATTTTTGAAAAGACAGCTGCGTTGGAAGGTTAAAAATAGAACAGCGCGTGCATTTAATACCTAATAAATAAATATCTCGTAATTGCTGTTGCCATCCACAAAAATCCAGATATTTATAGATGTTTCCAGTATATTCGAGAAATTAATTATAAAGCTTATAAAAGCCGAGAACAAACAACTCATCTCAGTAGTAGCTGTAGTTCTAGCGAACTGTTTGTTTACTTAATGCTGTGATTGATTTGTAGCGATTTCGCTGTGAGATAGAATTAGTTTCTCTGTTTTGAATTGATTTTTGCTAAACGTTTGACATTTTGTGATATTGTTAGAATATTTTTGAAGAAATATTTCAGCATTTTGATTTATCTCTTGTGGAAAGAATAAATTTTTGTTAACTTTTTAACGTTAACCGTGTTTATTCCAGCCCTTTGTATTCAGTATGTCTATATCAAAACCAAGTGGTAGTAAAATTAAACGAAAAATCGCTGACGAACATAGAATATTCCAAGTAAAATGGGAATTAGAATATTTTTGCTGTGAAATAAAAGATAAAATAATCTGCTTGATATGTAATAATACTATTAATGTACCAAAGTTATATAATATTAAACGTCATTACGAACAACACAAATCGAAATATAACAATTACGAAGGATTAATGAGAGAAGAAAAGTTGAAAGAGCTCAAGTTAGGAGTGAAAAAAGCAACAGTCCATGTTTAGTAAAGTATTGCAAGAAAGTGAAGCGGCGGTACATGCAAGCTACGTCTTGTCCGAGTTGATAGCTAAACATTCGAAGCCTTTTACTGACGGTGATTTCATCAAGGAATGCCTAATGAAAGCTGGAGAAATTGTTTGTCCTGGAAATGTGAAGGCTTTTCAATCAATTTCATTGTCTCGAAATACAGTTGCGGAAAGAGTTACTGATTTAGCCGCGAATTTAAGTGATCAGATCAAAGCAAAATCATCTAGTTTCGAAAGTTTCTCCATTGCCTGTGACGAGAGCACGGACATTAGTGGCAAAGCTCAATTAGCAGTGTTTCTTCGTTCTTGTGACAAGAATTTTAACATTTTTGAGGAATTACTGGAACTAATACCGATGCCTGGTACTACCACAGGAGAAGATATATTTACTTGTGTTTTTGGACTTCTGCAGAAATACAATCTACCTTTGGCAAAATTAAATTCTGTAGCTACAGATGGCGCTCCATCAATGACCGGGAAAAAACAAGGGCTTCGTAGCATTACTAAGAAAAAAAACTTAGTGAAATTCACGGTTCAAACATTCATCATATGCATTGTATTATACATCAAGAAGTTCTATGCACGAAAGTAATAAATATGGAGAATGTTTTGTCATATATAAAAAAAGTTATAAATTTTATAAGATCTCGAGGTTTAAATCAGCGTCAATTCACTGCTTTCTTAAGTGAGTTAGATAGTGAATATTCGGGTTTGTCCTACTATACCGAGGTACGTTGGTTATCTTGCTCCAAGATTCTCAAACAATTCTGGGATTTGAAAGAAGAAATATGTCAGTTTTTAAAAACGAAAAATCAAGACGTAAGTTTGTTTTACGATCCAATATGGATACAAGATTTATCTTTCTTGGTTGATATAACCAAACACTTAACCGATTTAAATTTATCGTTACAAGGAAAAGATCATATCATTACGAACATGTTTGACATAATTAAAGCATTCAAATGTCAACTAGTTCTTTGGGAAAAACAACTTAAAAATGAAGATTTGACGCACTTCCCGACGTGCAGCATGAACAAATCAAGTTTAGATGATACTTGTTCGTATCAAAAATACGCAGAAAAAATTGCAAATTTAACAACTGAATTTGAAACGAGGTTTAATGATTTTAGTTCCCTCGAAGACAAAATTTTTTTTTTTTGTTTTTCTTCGATTTTCTCAATAAGTATTGACTCAGTACCCAGCCATATGCAAATGGAGGTGATCGAGATTCAATGCAACTCAAATTTGAAAGCAAAATTCATTGAAGTGGGCGTGCCTGAATTTTACAAATATTTACCAGCCAGGTTTGAAAATACTCGAAAATTCGCATATGAAATTATTTCCATGTTTGGTAGCACTTATCGGTGCGAGCAGTTATTTTCAGTCATGAAAGGTAATAAGTCTCCTATTAGAAACCGTATTAATGATGCTCACCTTGGGTCAGCGTTGAAAGTTATCACTGCAAACAAAATTTCTCCCGAAATAGGAAAGATAATAGCAGAGAAGAGATGTCAAGTATCAGGACGTAAACATTAAATTTTTCTTGTTCTTTTCTATATAAATATATATATATGTTTATTATTGTATTATTCGAAATAAATCTACGTTTCTATGAATATTGTTTTTTTTTTTTTTTTTCGGCCCGCCTAAAGTTAAACCTTGTTTGTTTGGCCCAAGTGTACCTATGAGTTTGACCTTTACGTAGATAGAATTAGAAATATTAAAAGCAATTCAGGAACTTTTAAATGAAGAATGACAATCAAAAAGGAAAAGAGAAATGTACAAAAATTCGACTTTTTGCACGGATTTTCAAAACACTATTAGAGGTGTTCTACATTTATAAAAGTCTTTTAGTTCTAGTTAACAAGCATAGTTCTAACTCATCTTTTAAGAAAATTAGGTACTTTTCCGTTTTGCCGGCACAAATCTCGCCAAGCAGACTTTGTTCGCGACAGCATAAGTATACACATAAAAAATTTTAGTTCCAAGAGTTTTTTATTTTGAAGGTATAAACATATTAATATGATTTAAAATTTTGTAAAAAGCCAATAAATAAAGACAATAAATTTGTAAAAAGACATTAATTTAAGAATTTACTATGCTTTCATGGTTCAACATCCTGATTTGTCAGTTCGTATCACACGACCCAAAGTGATCTCATCTCACGTAAACTATGCTATAAAAATATAATTCTCTCAGTAATTATCTGCATTAATTTCAATTAAATCTTAGTTTGGAATACAAGTTCAAATGCAAGAATTATTTCAATTCGTACAAACAGCTTATTCAGAAATTATGTAAAACCGCAGTGCTTTACTTCACTAGTGCATTCTCATTAGAATTGATGAATTTAACCCTTAATTTTGCCTTTCATATATTTTTGCCTTCGAGTGAGCGGTCTGATTGCATCCTAATTGGCTTAATTACCGTGAATGGTCTTAGGGTCTAAAATTTAATTATTTTTTGTAAAAATTCTGTGTAATTGTATTCCAGTATTGAAAGAAACGATCAATCTGATAAGAAATGGCTGTGACTTGTTTTGAAAATGAAGCGTAAAAGGTTATTGGCATTTGGCATCAGTTGTACCATTATTGACGACTTTATCGTTTGCACCGGCAAAACGGAAAAGTACCGAAAATTATTTTTAAATACCATGTTTATTCAATTATTCCTTCTTTTCCTACTAATTTTAGTGCATGATTTACCAAAGAGGGCAAGAATATAGGGATTGTACTATTTCTAAAAATGCAGCTTAAATGATAGCTTGTAGCACATTAAAAAGCATAAGCTAATTTTATTATACACTACAAAGTCCGATATATGGAATCATCAGGACTTGGGCGATTCCAGAAATTTTCAGGTTTTAGATCATCAGTTTAAATTTAGCAAAATCTTCTTACACCTTATGGAGAAAAAGCATACACAAAGTTTTAATTTATTCGTGCTTTCAGTGGCTTTTACTGCAACATCAAAGCAATGTTATATTCTAACAGATTTCTTACTGTTGCCACTCTGTAGTAACTAAACATGTAAATAGAAACTTGTAATTAATATGAATTAATTACAAGAAATGATTCTCTATGATTTAAGTATAAGGATTTCCTTAAAATTCTTAAGAATTGAGCGTTTTTCATCTATAATCTTTGCAGTTGATTCAAAAGATGGAGCTTGTAAAAGAAGAAATCAGTTCTTATGTGAAAATAAGCATTGTATCTCTTATAATTTAATATGTGATGGTCACAACAATTGTGGGGACTTATCAGATGAGACAAAGTGTAAGTAAGAATTTTGAGATTTCATTTGTAAATCAGCATTGCTATGAAAGTAATGGTTCCATAGTTTAGTAGCCTGCTTTTACTCCAATGAATTAAATATTTTTATGTAAGGTTTCTATTGATCCTTAAAAATTTCTCAAGTTTGGATTTTATTTAAATAATCTCTGTTATTAAATAATGAAGAATCTGTATGTATGTATGTTCTTTCCTCACATCCTGGGAAAAGAAACCCCAGACCGATCAAATTTTAAACCAACATAGTCACCTGAACATGTGTATCTTAAAACACAAATTGTAAATTTTTAAAAAATTTATTTAATAATTTGTGCAATTTTAATGAATTTTTTATTAACAAAATGGGCAATTTGAAAACAGTATGTTGCCAGTACTTGAAATAAAGCATCTTCAGTGTGCCCGTGTGTTGGCCCTTTTGTAAAATGTAAGATATTTAACTTTAACATTTAATGAACAAACTAAGCTATTTAAAAGCAATCTGTTGCCACCATCATGAATAAAATGCTTTTTTTTTTTTTTTTTTTTTTTTTTTTTTTTTTTTTTTTACCTTCCACATGATAGTGTTTTGCCAAAGCATAAGCTATTAAACTTCCAAATTTAATCTATTTTTTATTGATTAACAAACTTTGGCGATTCTGTTTCTTGTCTGTATTGATGACAAACCTTTTAGACCATAATTAGTGATTTAAATGGAGTAAACACAGTTCTTAGCAATATGCATATTATGTGTACATTATTATATCTCCTTTCTTTCCACATGTTTTGTGGTGTAACTGGAAGCACACTCGAAACATATTCGGGAGGTCCGGAGTTCAAATCCTGGCATGAGAATTGCAGATTTCTTTTTGTGTCCTGCCCTCAAAATCCCTAATGGCTGTACAATATATATAAATATATTGTACAGATTTGTTTAAATATATATATATGTAAAATATATATATATTAACAAAAACTTAAAATTTATAAATTACGAGAAAAAGATTATGCCAACCTGGGAAAATTCTCTAAATTAAATGTAAAAAAAAGGAAACTGTTAAATTTTATAATGAAGTAAAAGGCAAATTAAAAGGGAAAGATTCTTTAAAAAATTTTAAAATGTTTAAAAAAATAGTTTGAGAAACTTTAAAAAAAATAAGAGAATATGCAAATTAATTACTCATTTTTAATGCTTCAAACCAACTTTACAAGGTGTAGTAATATAAAATATTTAAACCTGAACAATTATGGAGCACTGAATTCACATTTTGTTACACTTGACACTTTGAGCAAAATTTATATAAAAATAAAAGGAAAAAAGAATATAAACCAATTTTTGCAATTACATTTACACCCACTCTCTAACCTGACATGATTTCAATTTCAAATAAGTAAATAAATAAATAAAAAATAAAAATAAAAATAATGGTATACATTTTATACAAATTAAAGTTACAAATGCTGCAGAAAAGTGATATAATAAATATGTGATAAAATCAAAGTCAGAAGTAATGACCAGTAGGAATTTTGATGCTGTAGAATTGTTAATCTATAATGAACAGAAAATTGGAGGCAAAAGCAGATTAAATCTTCCTTTTTTATTTCAGCAAACGTGTTGTGGCCAAAAACAATTTGGCACAAATGTGCCTATTTCAAAAAGTTTACATTTTAGATAAATTTGCAGTAAGATAGAAGGAGCACAGACTGGCCAAAGCTTAGAAAGCAAGTGCGTTATGTTCAGGGTGAAATCTTAATTCAGACTGAGTTAGTTTTGGTTCTCAATACATTTTGATTGGATAGTTAATACTGCTGTAAATTTACTATTGGCTGTTTGAGTTTTAGTTCCATTTACATCATCAGAATTACATAAGAATCAGATGACATACATTAGTCCAGCTAGGCCAAAGCGTAGAAAGCAAGTGTCTTACATTCAGGGTGAAATCAGACTGAGTTAGTTTTGGTTCTCAATACAGTTTGATTGGATAGTTAATACTTCTGTAAAATTTCTATTGGCTGTTTTAGTTCCATTTACATCATCAGAATTACATAAGAATCAGATGACATACATTAGTTTTGAAATGATGCAGTGCAAATAGAGGTTACTATTTTTAGAAAACAGAAGGAAAATTAATTTATGCTGCTAATTTAATATTTTGCATATTCCTTATTTTTCTTACATATATTGTATTTATATTTCAAGAGGTCCTTAGTTCTAATCTCGGCAAGGAAATTGCAGATTTCTTTAGTTTCCTGTGAATCTGATTGATTTAAATAAAAATGCATTTAATTGTTTTGCCTGGCGGGATTCAGGCTAATAACAGGTAAAATTCTTCAGCATTCTGTTTAGTCTATCCCATTTATCCTATACTGCTTTAAGCTCCTTTCTTAATTTTTTGTGGTTCACTGAGAATAATTCACCAGTTTCATTGCATAGAATAAAAAAAAAAAAAACGTAATTTTACGATTTGGTACGAAAAAAAGGTACTTTTCCGTTTCGCCGGTGCAAATCTCATAAAGCAGACTTTATTGGCGACAACACACAGTATACACATAAAACAAACAAATGCTAGTTCTAAGAATTTTTTTATTTTGAATACATAAACATTTTAATATCGTTTAAAATTTTGTAAAAAGCCAATAAATAATGAAATAAATTTGTAGAAAGACATTAATTTAAGAATTTATTATGCTTTCATGGTTCAACAAGCTGATTTGCTGGTTCATATCACGTGACCCCAAGTGATCTCATCTCACGTAAACTACACTACAAAAATCTAATTCTCTCAGTAATTATTTACATTTATTTCAAGTTAAATTTTAATTTGGAATAAAAGTTTAAATGCAAGAATTATTTCAATTCGTACGAATAGCTTACTCAGAAATTAAGTAAAACCGCAATGCTTTACTTCGCTAGTGTCACCGTGGTGTTTCGGTTTGAGATGTACAGGGTTTGTTTGGAAGGTAGTAGGACTGAAATTTTTTTTTTTTGAAAGAATATTCACAGTTTTGACACATCAGCTTAATAGTTTATAAAATATGCCCCTTCTGCAACAACACAGCGCTTCCAGCGAATCACTGAAGGCTCCCTGGAATGCTCTTCAGCTCCATTGTTACGTCCTTTTGAATGCCCTGGACCAAGCCGTGGTGCCTTCCTTTCATAACCCTTTTCGGTCGAGGGAAGAGGAAGAAGTCTGAAGGAGCAACATTTGGGCTGTGAGGTGGCTGGGAAGCTGTGTGATGCCATGTTTAGTCAGGAAGTCCATGGCAACAAAGGCAATTTGGCTTCGCGCATTGTCGTGATGGAGTCTCCATGGTCCAGTGATTTCTGGATGGACGAGGGCGACTCATTTTCTGAGTCTGACGCAGTAGGAATTCAAAAGATTTTGCACTTTCACTAAGTTTTGGTCACTTTTTTCCATTGAAGGACGTCCTGACCGTTGCTCACCTTCAACTTGCTTTCTTCCCTCCTGAAGCAATTGGTGCCATTCAAAAACACTTGATTGAACTCACTCCCATAAGCAGTCTTGATCATGTCATGGGATCTCAATTGCAGTTTGAAGCAAAATTTCACCGCGTAACGCTGCTCTAACAAACGATTCTCTGTGGAGATGGCAAAGCACCTTGAAAGGGGCTCACCTGAAACTCGATCTATACTTCATGAAGGCTTGGAGATAACTGGCGACTGGTGTGCTGGTAGCTATGATCCCCCACAGCCCAACCTGTGCAGTAACATCCCCCTCTTTGCCACGTTTTGGCGGGAAAAAGTCAGCCCTACTACTTCCTGAACAAACCCTGTATGCTAAGCAGATAGCAGCAATGGAGCCAAATTATTGATTATAAAAATTTATTCTAAAATAGTTGTTTCTTCAATAACAAGTTATTTTATTTAGTGCCGAAATGAACTTAATCGAGACTCTCCATGTGTTATGTGTGGAAGGGGGGATCAAATGTGCATGCATAAAGCATACAAAAGAAAGTGGTGGTGGTGCCTTTGAGGTTCGGATTTTGGATCATTCCGGATTTTGGACTTTGTACTTATTTTTATTTCATTTCATTCTAATACACATTAATCAAATTTTTTATTATCAGTATCAAAGTTGAAACCTTGTAGTACTTCTTGGACATCTGTGTCTGTTGCAGGCAGGTGTGGGTAAATGCCACCATCTTTCATTTTATCATTATCTTTGATGCTATTTGCTTTGTAGATGATATGATCTTGCTCATCAAAAATGATAACTTTTAATTTAAGATTAGCAAAAAAATGTTCCCCCCCCCACCCCGGTGTCTTTTACTACATAGCAGAAATCCAGAATTTTATTTTTCTGTTAAAAATAAGGGCATATTTAGGGGAAAAGTGCTCTCCTGATTATGAACCAGGTTTTCAGAATGAAGAACCAAAGAAAAATTTGCCACACCATTGCCAATGTGTTAAACATTGTGCGTGCACAAAGTTGAGAGAATTAAGAAATTACGGGTGTCAAAAGAAGTATTGTCAATTTTATAATCGATGAGAACTTGACATTTACCTCCAGCTTGTGTTATAGGTTTAGTTTAGTTATTCATTTATTTGCAATTTCATTGATGTATTGTTGCATCTTCAAAGCAATTTTAAATTAGGCTTATACTCAGGTTTTCAATTTTGGCTGAGTATACGCAGCGAAATGTTATATCTCAGCTGATTTACAGAATGACTTATATTCAGAAATTTATGGACATTTGTATTTATCCTCTGTCTTCAGAGTGCTCAGAGGATGTCTTTGAATACTTGTAGTATTTAAATGATAACATTTTATGATAGCTTTGTATGTTACTTAAAATTTAAACACTGCATCTGTTATTTTCTTCAGTCATATTTTCATTATATCTTGGTTTTTAAGAAAAAGCAAAAAAATGCATTTGTAAACTTTTCTAAAAATTTCTGTAGTTTTAAAATTAATCTTTATTTTGTATTTTGTTGGTGATTGTATTTTGGTGTTTTTTCTTTTAGGTGTAATTCCAGTTAAGAACACTGTCTGGGGTATTGTCGTAATAGTTATAGCGGTAATATCAGTTATTGTTTTTGTACCTATGTTTTGCTTTTTGGCAACATCTGGGACACGTAGTATTGTTAAATCAGTCACAGTTCCCAACCATGCTACTCCATTATTACCCACAGTGGACTGTGGTGAAACTTCGGGTCTTCTTACCTCATCTGAAGCAGTTATTAATTGTTGGCCTGGAACGTCTTATGAAAGAAGTTACTCATTCAGTTATGGCACTGCTCAGAATTTAGAACCCTCTAGAAGTGAGGAAACTGTTCAGAAGAACAGACGTTCATCTAGCGATGCTCATGGTTCAAAGTGGAATGAATCATTATATTCAGATTCTTGAGAATCATTTTAATTAAAATTTGCTTATTTTGATAACATAAATCCAAATCTAGATTGTCCAGTCTAGATTGTGAATATATTATGAGTATTAAGTCTGATTTTGATATGAGAATGCTATCTTTATTGTAAATAATACTGTAGAGTTTTGCATTTTCTTGTGCAACTGTCATCAGTATTTTTTTTTCTGGTATGATAATATAAAAGGCATGTATGATACTTGAATTTTACCATTAAGTAATTGGTTCTGCAGTATTCAATTAATAGAAAACAAGGAATTGAAGTTATAATATTTGGCATGAGGGGGAAAAAACCTTGATTAAGTGAATACATTAAGGATACTTTTCATTAAAGGACAGCATGTGTAAAATAGTTTTCTCTGGAAAAGTATGTGTGCTAACTTCTGTTGCTAACAAAAAAAAAAAAAAAAAAAAAAAACATACTTTTATCATCAGCTTGTTTTAGCTGTACTAAAATTTTCTAAACATAAGAAATATACTTTTTAGGTCGTCATTTCATTAAAAAAAATGAAACAAAATGACATTCTTTAAATACTTTTTGTTTATGATAGTTATTTTGAATTATTGATAATACTTATTCTGAAAACAAGAATATTGTTACTAGAGATAAGAATGCATTTAATCTAACCCTGGCAAAATGGCAACATTGATGCATGTAATTATCTTTCTGTAAAACCGTGTATGATGCATCTTGTCCTATAATAGAAAATATTCCAAATCAAAATAGAGTATGAATGTTATGTGGTTATAAAAGAGGAGAAAACAATGTTAGAAAAGTAATGTAAATTTCCTTCCTTAATGTGAATTTAAACTGTTCTCGTACATGTGCATAAATAACATGTCCTGCATGATGAAATATATTTCAGATGTAAAAAGTATTTAAATATAAATAATGAATTTTAATTGTTGCTTTAGTAAATTTGTCAATTTCGTTCGAAAGTTGTTATTTATGATTAATTATATTACAAAATATTTTGCTCTTGACCAGAAATTCATTAAGCAGTACAAATTTTCATTTTTACAAACTGCACACAACACACACACAAAACAAAACAAAAATAACTTACTTTGCACATGGCATTATCATTATTTTGAAAACTTATGCTCCATTAAATATATATCGTAGTTTCTTAAATGTGACATATATTGTTTATTTTCAAAAGACATATTAATCGATCGGTAATCACATAAAATCCTGAATTGAATTAGCATTTCTGATAATGACAAGAATTTTTTTATGTAAAAAATACTTCGTATGAAAATTTAAAATAATTCAGTTTTAGTTTAACATTAGTTTGGCATAGATTTTAAACAAAGCCATCAGTTCTGAGGACATTTAGACATAGGTTCCTCATTTTCAGGAGCAAAAAAAAAAACTTTGTGGACTTTGCAAGATTTCTCACAATATGCAGAATTGTTTTTGCTCTTGAAGAAAAGGCACATGTATCTGAAGACCCTCAAAATCAGTAGAATTTTATTTAAAATCTCTGTCAAACTAAGGTTGCTGTTCTGCTTAATTTGAAGTTTTAAATTGGCATTCTTTTCCTATTTAATTTATTTACCTTGTTTATTCTTCATTATATTCTTATTACTACTGATTATTCCTAACTCATTAAATGTGTATGAATATTCTTTACTTAATATTACGTATATACATTATTTATTTGATATATTTACTTTTATATATCTAGTGTATGATATTAGAAAGCAAAATAAATCTATTAAATTTAGAAAGCATACTTCTGTATTTATTTCATTAAAAATAATTACAAAAGTGTACTTTTAAAATTTATGTTGGTGCGCTTTCTTTAAAGTACACTTCCATTAAAGGTGATTAAAAAATTGTATTTAAAAAAATATAGTGTATTTTGTGAATTTGTATTCTGTGTATTTTATTTATACACATATACAGTATGAAGTCTTTAATCCGGGCTCGTCGGGACTTTGGAGATTCCGAATTAGGGGTTTCTCTGGATTATAGATAATCAGTTTAAATCTGGTAAGATGGCATGCAGAACTTATTAAATTAAAAATATGAAACTGTAATTTATGAAATAAAGAGCAATTATGATCTAAAATGTAACAAAAAAAAGCTATATATTTATTTGTTTACTTTATTAAACATTTCTTTCAATGTAAGTTGTTTAAGTTGCTTTTTTATGTGCTAATACTTTCTCTGTAATTCTATAAACAGACATAATTTCTTGTTCAGTTACAAAGTTCCGTTGTTCAAGTCCTGTAATTGCAGTGCCGAGAATACTGACTAACTTGCCAATCGAAATTTTTTCTTTTTCACTAACCTCTCTGTCACTTTCTTCATGCCTTTATCCATTTTTTGCAGCAATTCCACTTTTTGTTTGATGAACATTGAAACATGCTTTTGATTTGTAGATCCTTTGGCAGCTCCAGAATCGGAAACTCTTTTTGACAGAATCGAAAGTTCAAGCTTACTTTTTATAAAATTGCTCTAACAGTCTGCAAAAAATAATAAGCCGTATCCATTTAGAAAGTTAAGGAACAATGCAATCTGCAACATTAACTGAAATAGATAATTAGATAATTTTAGCCTAGCTTATACCGTCCATTATACATTAAACATGCATGTGTAAACATATTATGCGTATGTGTAAAGGTATTATGCATATGCGTAAAGGTATTATGCACCTGCATAAAGCATATGTGCATGTGTAAACGCTACACATGCACAGAAAGTTTGTAGCTTTGAGGTCTGGATTATGGACGTTCGGATTAAAGACTTTGTACTGTATTAGTTATATTTATTGCATATGTATTATACATGCATATCAAGGTACTTTTTATTAATGGAATATACAAATATATATGTACCAAAGATAAATATTGGCATAAATTTTAACTGATATGAATAGCAAGTAGACAGCTTCAAGAAATTAATTTTATTAAATCCAAAGTAAATACAAGAAACAAAAACTGTAAAATAAAAATGTATGTAATTATTGCAGGCGGGAACAAAGATTCACAAATAAGAATATATGTAATTATTGCAGTTGGTAGTTGTACAGTGATTCATTTTTAGTTGCAGTTGCCAGAATTCTATAACTCTTGACACCAGAAAGTATGTAAACTGAAAAGCTGTTGAAATCTGCAAATCTTTTTTTTTTCAGTATCCGCTCTGTAAAGCTTTTTTCTTCCAGATTGGTCTCTCATTACAGTGCCGTTTTGATACTTCAGAGTAGTAAAATACAATTTGATTTTGTTGTTTCTTGAATAAAATGTTTCAGTATGGATTATGTTTTTGCTTTGGAAGAATTTAATCATTACTCTTTGTTAGTTGACAACTGCAAAATCATGTTATCCATGCTGATTCTTTTTGTAATTTATTTTTTTCAGAAGGGGGTGGGGAAGGGGGAAAACTCATTGATGTTGATTTTTCCTACTTTTTTGAAATTACATTGCTGTATAACTTATTGGTGAGATGAAATAAAAGTCCTCTTTGATTCAGAACTTCCGACATAATGTCTTAGCTATGTACTTCTTATGTACCATCACAGTATGTCAAAAATTATACAGTATCACAATCTGTTAGTTTGTTGGGCCCCCTTTGCACTAATTAAAAAACTACACATAATACATTTCCAATTTGTGGAAATGCTCGAGCATGTATATTATTTATATTGGCGGAGGCTTGTGTTTTTTGCTAACCTTGTTCTTCAATGTAGGTGAGCAAAGATGTTTTCTCTTTCGTTATTCGATCTCTTATAAGTTTCTGATGATAATTATTAGGTTTGAATACTTATGATAATAATTAATTAGATGCATATGGTAAAAGATGTTGATGTTGAACATGTATCAGAAAAATGTTCATGTATGCTAGGTTTAAGATGTAAGGCCTGTTTTCGAACTTTTATGAAGTGTACATTTTTGATATTTTTTGGGGGGTTATGTAAATGCATTATTTCAAAATTGTTTGATCAGACCCCTTAATAAAAGCCTTTAGTTTGTTTTGTTTTTGTTATAGGGAATAAATTTTTAGTTTTTGTCAGGTTTTTAAAATGCATTTTTCAGGGATTGTATATTTTTGTTAGATTTAGAGCAGTCAACCAACTACATATAAATTCTAGTCCCTTATTCTTAATGAATATTATTGTTTTATTAATATACTAATGTATATATACTTGTAACACAAATGTCACTTTGTTGTATGTTATATAATAGTATTAGTTATGATTACTTGTTAATTGTGCAATAACACTTTTTTTTTCCCCGTTGGATAAAAGTCCTTTAATGATGTAAGCCCTTCCTCTCTTGATGAAGAATTTAACATCAGCAAACTTTGGAGCTGAATTTTAAGTGCATATTAATATGTTATTATAAATATGTTATTATCATACACATACTTATAAGAATGTATGTAACATTACCAAAAGTAATGTATAGCAAAAGTTAAATAATTCAACCACCTTCAGACTTTAGTGATGCTGTATTATCAAACATACTGGAATATCACACTAAAATTTTATTATGCATTATCTGAAAGTGTGATTAATGGGTTATTTAAAAGAAGGCTTTTGACTGTTTTCAATACTTCAACTTGGTTGTCCATTGTCTCATTAGCTTTTTGTATTTGATTGAAGTTTTCAGCAAGCTTTTTGTTACATTATATTTTTTACATAATTACAATTTTCAAGCAGCCATGAAAATTACGTCATTTGTCTTGATTTCAACTTAAATTTTTTACACTGCAGTTGGAATTCCAGAAATTTTGCACAAAAGAATTTGGTACTTACATAGTAATGCAACCACCTGGCATAATTTGGTGTTTTTTTACAGGGGGAAAAAAAAGAATGATATAAATCTTCATTCATTTCAAAGGAAAATTTTATTGCATACATAAATGTTATTACATGCATATTTTTAAATTCTGATTCGGTATTTGTACCAAAAATCAATCAGTAAAGTACTTACAAGTAATTTTTATTTCTTTTTTATAGAGGAAATTTAATGACGAGCACTTTAACAACAGCTTCAAAACCATTGTTCCATTTACCGATTTTGCAGATGTTGAACAGCATTTTCTTCCATTGCTGGCAAATTTCAAATATTTTAAAATTAATTTGATGGCAAAAATATAATGATTTGGTTCTAAAAATAGTTGGAACTTGGAATACCACAAATTGAAACCATACAAAAAAGGTGACATTGCTTGACTGAAGAATTGTTACGAGCATGGTTACCAGAGTTTGGTTCATTTTGAAAATTTCTTGACCTCTGCTAAGGTGGCTGTGATAGTTCATAAGCACCAAGAATTCCTATATTTACATTTAAGGTTTTGAATAACTCCTTGATTTATTTTCACATCGTACTAGTTGAATATTTTAACCGTGTTAGTCCATGAAGACATGTGAGTAACATATGGCTAACACTTTCCATAATGACCCTAAAGTCTGCCATGCTTCTTGAAGATGTCACCCATGCTTCAAGATTGGCCTGTATCAAAGTATTGAATCCATCCACAGTAAAAAAAAAAAAAAAAAAAAAATTGTTTATTTACTTGCATATACCAAGTGTACTTTTCTAATATTTTATTTTGAAAACTTCATTGGATAATCATAGTTTACATTTTAATCATGTTGCACTAATTTCTGTTTATATCTGCTATCAAAAATGCTTCAAATCAATGAAAGTTTTTTATTTAAAAACACTCACACTCATAACTAAGTCATGTAAATGCTTTTCTGTTTCAAAATTTAATCAGTGTATAAGCTGAGATAATGTCTGGCATTCCATTATGTTCCCTTTGTTGTTTCCATATCAGGCAGATGCATTTTAGCAATCAGTGAGATCATTGCGTATGCAGTTTTTTGTTTGGGTTCAAAACCACATTCATATCTATGTGTTAGTTATTTTCTTTCCTTTTTTTGGAATAGTTGATGTTTTTTCCAATTAAAAATCAATGATAT